GAGTTATACATGCTGCCGCTGGGAGGCATGAAGGACGCAAGCGGCGATCGGCGGAGAGGAGATGCCGCTCGCCAACAGGTAGGAGGAGGGGAGACCGCGGGCGGACTGAGGGTGAGTGCTGCAAGTGGTGTGCAGCCTCCACTCATAGCCGCCCGCGGATCCCTGACAATAGATAAGCGTTGTTTCAGTTTGTTTAATTCTAGAACAGTGATGGCGAACCTATGGCACGCGTGCCACAGGTGGCACGCCGAGCCCCCTCTGTGGGCACGCGGCCACAGGTCGCCGGAGGGAGGGTGCGTTCCACCGGCGCATCCATAAGGCGGCACAAGTGGCCGCCTTAGGGTGCACTGGCCCGGCGGGCGCAAAACCAGAGTGACTGGCAGGAGGTGGTTTTGCCAGGCACTCTGTCTAGCGTGGCAGAGCGCGCCGCGGTACAGGAACTTATGTTTCCTGTACCCGGGCGGACAGAAATGAAGTGCTCACAGAGAGAGCACCTCCTATCCGGCCGGGTACAGGAAACTGAGCTCCGCGGTGCGCTCGGCCACGCTACAAGGTAGGAGATCAAGGACAAGGGGAATGAAAACTAAGGGAGAGATGGGAGGGAAGAAACTGAGGGAAGAGATTGGGGAAAGAAACAGTGGGGGAGGGGGACGACATATACACAGCACCCCTGCCCTACACATATCACCCCACACAAACACACACACATCACCCCACACAAACACACACACATCACCCCACACAAACACACACATCACCCCACACAAACACACACACACCCCACCCACACACACACCCACCCCCACACACACCCACCCCCACAAACACCCCACCCCACACACACGCACCACCCCACACACACACATCACCCCCCCCACACACACACACATCACCCCACATACATACACACATCACCCCACCCACACACACACACCACCCCACATCATCCCATACACACACACATCACCCCCCACACACACACATCACCCTACACACAAACACATCACCCCACACACAAACACATACACTGTACCCCTCAATGCAGTGTGTGTACACTCATCAGTCTGTCTGTGTGTGTGTACTCAGCAGTCTGTCTGTGTGTGTGTACTCAGCAGTCTGTCTGTGTGTGTGTGTGTACTCAGCAGTATGTGTGTGTGTGTGTGTGTACTCAGCAGTCTGTGTGTGTGTATTTAGCAGTCTATGTGTGTGTGTGTATTTAGCAGTCTGTGTGTGTATTTAGCAGACTGTGTACTCAGCAGTCTGTGTGTGTATTCAGCAGTCTGCTAAATACAGACAGACTGCTAAGTACACAGACAGACTGCTAAATACACACAGAAAGACTGCTAAATACACACACAGACAGACTGCTAAATACACATACAGACAGACTGCTTAATACACATACAGACAGACTGCCGAGCACACACACAAACTGCTTAATACAAACACAGAGATGTTAATTAGTTCGGACAACTGTATGAGTTGTTTTTTCTAAACTTAAACATCAGTATTCAGGTTTAATTGTCGTTTTGGCACTTTGAGGAAAAAAAACTTGGCATGTATTACGGTTTGGGCACTCGGGCTCAAAAAGGTTCGCCATCACTGTTCTAGAATGAGTCTCCACCCCCCTGGTTCAGTTTAGCACTCCATTCTTTGGATCATTATCCGGTTTGCAGAAGCTGGAGTTTGTTATTAATATTTATTTAAAATGAGTGTGTACTGCTAACCTGTGGCTTAGGTCTATAAATCCCCAGCCTACATTATGTTTGGCTATAACATTGTGTGTTTGTAACAGGACTGGTAGTATGTGACACAGAGTCCTTCTTTAACCCCTTTATGGACGGAGGGTGTTCTATGCTGTCCTTTTTTAGGCGGTCCTAAACGCCCGCGGGCAACATAGAACGTCCCCACTGTCCTTTGTACTTACAGGGTCCCTGCCCTTCCTCGACAGCAGTCACGATCAAATAAAAAGAAAAGTAAGTAGCACACTAATATGTTTCACCTATACAGAAGGCTTTTTCAAAGCCTCACACTTTGAAAAGGCTTTCTGTATAAGTGAAACATGTTAGTGTGTTACTTACTTTTCTTTTCAATTGTTTAATAAAATTAATCTGCATAGTACCCCTGGACCTTCATTGGACATCTTTTATTGGAGAAGCTGTATCTCACATTCCCGGGTGGGGGACAAACCACCTATGCTGTAAAGGACTGAGCAATCCCTATTTGCTCATCCATTGTGAGTATATTTCTCTCTCTATTTTATTTGTTTTATTAATACAGAGAACACTATTCCTTTTCTTTTATATCCTATATATATATATCACAGGAGCATGATCTGGAATACACCACATGGATTACTGGCACAGAGATACGATACCAGAGGAAATCAGGACCATCCTAACATCCACGGACGGGGATTGTACCGTCCATACGCTGTGATCTGGAGCTGATCTTGAGCTTCAGAAAAGTGTGAGTGCAATATATTTTTTCCTTATATTCTGCCTCTGCTGTTACAGACGTACAACTCTATATTAGTATTCCTGTCCCATTTTGTTTTCTCCTTTATAGTGGCTTGATTGGATTCCACACAAGGACTTTAATTGTTAAGTGCTGCTTCCCTACATTCCCCGCTTTAAAATTATATGTAAGTGTGGGTGCACATAATATGAAAGAGGTGAATTACACCTGAACAGACATATAGCGCAAACTCAAGGTTTTGTTTACGTTTTGTTTTGATCTCAACTTGTACATTTGGCTCAGTCCTTAACCCCTTAAGACCGGAGGGCGTACTATTACGTCCTCTAATAGGCGGCTCTAAACGCCGCCGGGCGTAATAGTACGCCCTCCGGTCTTTCTGTACTTACCCGGTCGCCGGCGGTCCCACGCCGGCGATCGCGGTGGGGGGGACTCCCAGGGAGCCCCCCGCGGCACGACCGTCCTCCAGGAAGCCCCCCGGCCGTGTGAGAGTGGGGTCCTAGCGAGGACCCCACAATCACATGGCCGGGGATAGCTGGCTTCTGTATTGCCAGCAGGGGGGCTGCCTGTAATGACAGGTGGTCCCCCTGCTGGCTGAAAATAAAAATGAAATAAATAAATAGTGTAAAAAAATAAATAATATATACTTAGATCATATATATATATTATATATATATGATCAAAGTATATATATACACATATACATACACACATGTACACCGTCTAGGTGTATTTTACTATTAATATATATATAATTATATATATATATTAATATCAAATTACACGTACACTGATACTGATTAAATATATATATAATTATTGTTATATATATATTTATATATATTATAAAAAAAATTAAAATGTAAATACGTTAAAAAATAAAATTACAAAAATAATTAAAAATAAATAATTAAAAAATATATAGATGTGTGTTATTTCGTTCTAACTGTATTGTGAAATTAATATATATATATATATATATCAAAATACACATAGAACGAAATAATATATATATTTATACACATAAATATATACGTATATATCACTATATATATACCTATATATAAATAAAAATATTTAAAAAAAATTATATAGATATATACATATATATACACATACGTATATATATACATATATTGATTCTACATATATATTTATGTAATATTTTTACATAATTAGGTATCTTAATTAATTACAATTAGCAGGACCTGCCTGACAACCCATGCCGAAAGTAAAGGGAATTTAATTTGCTAGCACTATATTTAACCCTATAACTTTCCGAGACACCATAAAACCTGTACATGGGGGGTACTGTTCTACTCGGGAGACTTCGCTGAACACAAATATTAGTGTTTCAAAACAGTAAAATGTATTACAACGATGATATCGCCAGTAAAAGTGACGTTTTTTGCATTTTTCACGCACAAACAGCATTAAACGGACAATATTATTGCTATGATACTTTTTACTGTTTTGAAACACAAATATTTGTGTTCAGTGAAGTCTCCCGAGTACAACAGTACCCCTCATGTACAGGTTTTATGGTGTTTTCAAAAGTTACAGCGTCAAATATAAGGCTTGCGTTTCATTTTTTTCACATTAAAATTCGCCAGATTGGTTACGTTGCCTTTGAGACCCTATGGTAGCCCAAGAATGAAAATTACCCCTATGATGGCATACCATTTGCAATAGTAGACAACCCAAGGTATTGCAAACAGGGTATGTCCAGTCTTTTTTAGTAGCCACTTAGTCACAAACACTGGCCAAAATTGGCATTTTTTGCATTTTCACACACAAACAAATACTAACGCTAACTTTGGCCAGTGTTTGTGACCAAATGGCTACTAAAAAAGACTGGACATACCCCATTTGCAATACCTTGGGTTGTCTACTATTGCAAATGGTATGCCATTATGGGTGTAAATTTCATTCCCTGGGCTACTATACAGTCTCAAAGGCAACGTAACCAATCTGGCGAATTTCAATTTCAAATGTAACGTGCTATATTTGACCCTGTAACTTCCCAAAACGCCATAAAACCTGTACATAGGGGGTACTGTTTTACACGTGAGACTTTGCTGAATACAAATATGTGTATTTTATTGCAGTAAAAGCAAACAGTATTATGACACTGACCGTTTAATTGTCATGTAGAACTAAAAAAATCCAATAAAATCGTATTTTCTCCCATTTTTTTCATATTAAATTATGTTTCATAGCTAAATATTTGATATTAAATGAAAGCCCTGTTTCCCCTGAATAAAATGATATATAATAAGGGTGGGTGCATTTACTATGAAAGAGGTGTATTACGGTTGGACAGACATGTAGCGCAAATGCCAGGTTTTGTTTACATTTTGTTTTGTTCACAACGTGTACATTTGGCTCCGTCCTTAAGGGGTTAAGGGATTAAATAGAGCCATATTTTGTGTAATAACAAACTGTTTGATATACTAAGCTAGGGTATTTTTGAGCACATGCATCATATGATCTATCGAACCTTTATACTAGTGGTTTACAGGTGAGTCACTCAGTGCTGCCAGCAATGAGCAGAGAAGGCAGCTCCTGTACGCTGTACACAGTGCAACATCAAGACAGGGAAATTGGTTTCAGGGAATTCAGGGCGAGGCAGAAAGATTTCACAACAAACCCACAACCTGTTCTAGAGGAAACACAACCTAGATACTGACACAGACACACACGTCTTCAAATGCAAAGGCTGGGGTTAGAGGGGGCGACCTGCCTTTTGTCCTACCTCAGGAAGTTCCCACACTGGCTGTACCGCAGCTGACTGACTCCAGCTCTGTGCGCGCCATGTGAAGACACCCGGCCCGGCGAACACCGAGCGCAAGGTGGAATCCTCGGATAGAATGTTGCTATTGCCTCTCGTTCTCATTCTGACATCTGCTGTGCTGGGTATTGCGGACTCTGCTAAAGGTAGGCTTCTGAAGGAGTGGAGGCGTGCTATACAGAATGTAAGCTCTTAGGGTCAGGGAGTCACTTCCTCTGTGTTTCTTTTACTGTACTTTGTATGGATGACGCTGTTTACATTGTATGAGCAGCAGTCTGTCTCCATAGAGTAGACCAGCAGATTCAGCACTAGCTCTCTGGAAATCACCTGCAGTGACTGGGAGTTCGCTTCTTGAATCACACTGACCTACGGCACAGTGAGCTAGATATTCCCCATAATGATCTGGAACTAATGCACCTATCACTCCGGGGCAGTCTGGGGCCTCATCTGGAACATGGCAGGAGATAACTGAGAGTTACACCTTCTGCCATTTCATTAAGGCAATTAAAATAGCTCCCACTCAGGACTGTAACCCATACTAATCTCGGGCATTATTGGGGCATATATGTCTCCTTTACTGCCCTTATAGTAAGTTTCTCCATTTAATCCCATATTACACAAATATGTTACACTACACTAAAATTGAACCCTCTACTCTACTTTAAAATGCTCAAAGCACCCCTTCCATACATTAGCACTAAACATAAACCACTCCACAGTGACAATAAACATAAATATCTACACTATCCTAACACACTACAACCATAGACATTAACCCCTACTGTCACTAAACAGTTACCCCTAAACTATCACTTAACATTAACTGCAACACTATCACTAAACATTAACCTCTAAACTCTCAGTAAACATTAACTCCAACAGTATCACTAATTATCACTACCTTAACACATAGACTAACATTAACCCTAACACAAAAAATGTTTAATACAAAAGAAACATAACAGTGGAGCATGTTTTATACAGTGCTATCCCAGGGTTCTGTGGACAATTTTAAACCACTCAGCTTTAGGTTTTGTGGCTTCGGGTTTACCAAGAATACCTTAACCCCTTAAGGACACATGACATGTGTGACATGTCATGATTCCCTTTTATTCCAGAAGTTTGGTCCTTAAGGGGTTAATTGATATATATATATATAGAGAGAGAGAGAGAGAGAGAGCAGGCATTAGATTGCTATAATTGGACTTGTCAAGAATTGGGTACATTGACGTTGTGGCAGGCTTATGCAATGTATGATCATATACTGTAACTAAACCCCCATTATATTTTTTTTGCCTAGGTAAGGTGTTTTTAAATAAAACTATTACATCCAGTGAGCATTGAAATTGCTGTTTTGTTAATAATCGAGTGCAGTGGATTTTGTATGTTGTATGAATTAGCCCCAGCAGCATGTATGCATTTTCAGGGGAGTGCAGCCTCTTGATATTATATTATATCTGCCGGAGACCTACGTCTAACCTCTGTCCGCACTCCTACCTCTGATGCTCACTTTAAAGACTTCTCTATGGCTGCACTGTTCCTATGCCCTTCCCCTCTCTGTTAGACTTTCATCCAATCTCCACTCCTTCAAAAAATCTTTGAAAACTTACTTCTTTAGGAAAGAATATCAATTAAACTTTGAACAACTTTAACTCCCCTCACCCTGATTCCCCTCCTGAAACTGTCATCAAAACAAAACACTGAACTTTCAATGAACACTATCCTAGCAGCATATATATATATCTACACACACTTTTGTTTTAGTTAGTGTACATCTTGTATATCAATGTCCTCTATATACAAGGCACTGCAGAAGTCGGTTCTTGGTTATTTAGGTGTATAACATTAAAGATGACAAAGTCCTTTTCAAGTCGTGACGGTATTTACCATAAATATATGCTTATGTAATGATGAAGTAACATGGGTGTTAATTAGTAGCTTACATTTAATTATTTTGTGATTATTCATTGTCAAATCAACCTTATGTAATACTGGTATCCAGATGTATTTGGAAACTGCTAAATGTTCGTTTGCTAGTTAAGTAGCTCGATATTATTAAATCTGCAAAGCTGCGTTTATCAGAAACTACTGTTCACAGGTTTCTTGTAAAAATCAGTGACATTCATCGAATACATATGATTGCAAAAAGCTTCTGTATGCAAGTTGAAGCTTGTGATAGTAATCAGCTCATAAGCAGATTCTTTACTTGCATCTTGTTAGAAAGAGACAAATAAAAACTCTCTGAAAATATAGCTTGTATCTGTAAATTGACTCGATGTGACAAATAAGAGGTCAGAGCTGAAAATACCACTAAGAAAGTGGGCATGTGGGATAGGTGTGATGGTAGTGCCATTACCTAAACTCAGACTGATGAAGGATGATTTGTATAGTATTTTTTAACAGACCAATTAAGGACAGTTCAGAAAAGGGGAAAGGCAGTTGGTGAAACAATTTATGATGGAAGGAAATAATATGGAAAAAGAGAGATACAACCTGGTGTCTTCAGCCTACAGATGGTCCTGGAATCCAAAAGTACATATTATGCTGCTAGGAGTGATAATGTGAAGTGAAAAAACAAGGAAACCCAGAATAAAGTATTGTAGCACCCTAAGCACGCACACACACACACACACACACACACACACACACACACACTATCTCACAAAATTGAGTACACCCCTCACATTGTTGTAAATATTTTATTATATCTATATTATTATCATGTGACAACACTGAAGAAATGACACTCTGCTACAATGTAAAGTAGTAAGTGTACAGTCTGTATAATAGTGTAAATTTGCTGTCCCCTCAAAATAACTCAACACACAGCCATTAATGTCTAAACCATTGGCAACAAAAGTGAGTACACTTACTACTTTACATTGTAGCAGAGTATCATGTGTTCAGTGTTGTCACATGAAAATATATAATAAAATATTTACAAAAATGTGAGAGGTGTACTCACTTTTGTGAGCTACTATATATATCTATATCTATCTATCTTTCTCCAAGTCTCTTTTCAAACATATGTCATTGTTCTGATCAGGTCAGTTAAGCGACTTATACCGGGGTTAAGTTTAGGTTCTTTATTGAAATTGTAAGACATGTTTTAAACTTGAAATAATAAGTGAAGCAAGATTAAAGGAAATATAGACAAAAGGAATAAAGCAGTACCTATACACGAGATTACAGGTAATTAGTAATAAGGGTTATAGAATAAAGGGTTTAGACAATACGCCCCGGAAAGGATATAGAGAAGTAGATAGAATCAGAACCTATAAATGGAATTATAGGTAGAAATAAAGGAATAGTGAAAAGGAGACCCTATAAATTGAATAATAGGTTAGGAGGAAGAAGGAGAACCTATAAGCGGAATTGTAGGTTAAGAGGAAGAAGGAGTACCTACAAGCGGAATTGAAGGATAAGAGGAAGAAGGAGAACCTATAAGCGGAATTGTAGGTTAAGAGGAAGAACTAGAACCCATAAGCGGAATTGTAGTTTAAGAGGAAGAAGGAGAACCTTTAAGCAGAATTGTAGGTTAAGAGGAAGGAGGAAAACCTATAAGCGGAATTGTAGTTTTTACCATGTCCCAATATGGGAGTATGTTGCGACATTCCCACCATATATGTAGTAGTGTGCCTCTGTCCTCCTGGCATCTCCAACACGTTGGTGGCACTGCCGGGAAAATCCGATGTATTACGGTCGGTGTTCTATACCAGAGGGATAGCAGCTTGTAATTTACCTCCTGGTAGTAGGAGCTCATGGAACTTTTGTGTTGCTATATCAGAGCTTTATCCCATTGTGGCGTAGTGAATGTCTTACCCAGGGATTCCTCCCATTGTCTCCAGAAGGTGGTATTGTTTGTTTGGGTATCCGTTATTAGTTGTTGGTATAGCGCTGAAACCCCATGGTTCAGTCTGGTTCCTTGTTTACATAGTCCCTCGAACCATGTTAATTCCCTGTGTAGGCACTCCTTATGTGTGAGTGTGGTGTAATATTGTTTCAGTTGTATATATCTGAGGGTAGTCATGATGGTCTTTGGTCTACCCTCCAGTAGCGATTCTAAGTCTTGCATTCCGCCAGCTTGTAGAGCTCTGCTTATGGGGATATATTCCCCTTCTCCCAGGAAGTTCCAGGCTCTGCCTGGCAAGCCCTCACCTATTTTACTATTGTGCGTAATCGTGAGCATTGGGCTAGGTGTGGGCGAGATGTACGACTTTTCCCTCAGCGAGTTCCATCCACGTAATGTTTGTGCGACTGGTCCCTCGTTCACCTCCCTTTTCTGGGGTTGCAGGGCTCCCCCCAAACCATCGACTCCACTGTCCCCTCCGTGGCTTCTCTGTCTTCTCTGTAAATCTAGGTAGGCACAGTATGTTGTGTCTTAGTCTAGATCGTTCGCCTCGCCAAGTAAAGCATATGACTGCCGTTTTCAGTGAGTAAAAGAAGTTTGCTGGAGGCGTGAGGGGTATGGTCTGCAGGAGGTATAGAACCCTGGGGAGCACGTTCATTTTAAGCACGGCTATACGTCGGTGCCATGTCACATGGGGGAAGGATCGCAGCGGAATCTGGGTCAATCACCTCCGTCACGTTGGAGTGCAGATAGTCGTAAACCAGGGTGTGTTGTCATGCTCCACGGTCTCCCCCTTCGGGTGTTTGGAGGTTATAGAGGTTTTGGTAGAAGTCCTTGAACTCCCCCGCTTTCTCCTGTGGGAAGGGAGAGATCGCGCCCGATGCAAGACATAGTTTGCGTATTTGCGTGCGGGGCACATTGCCCTTCAGAAGTTGGGCAAAGTATCTACCCCCTTTATTAGCATGGGCATAGAAAAAGCCCTTTGAGCTTTGTAAGTAGCGAAGATGTTTTTTTGAGGTCCTTCAGTGTCCTCCTGGCCTCCATGAGCTCTCCGTATACTTCGTGTAGTTGGTTTTGTTTATGTTGTAACTCCAGGGTTGAGATGGACTTATAGAGAGCTGCCATTTCCCGAGAGGCTTCTTCTTTCTGGAGGCGATGCGGATGAGCGATCCCCGGATTACGCTTTTATGTGCTTCCCATAAGATGATGGGCGACATCCCCTCACAGTCATTCTCCATGAAATAATTGTCTATGTCTTGTCTGATTTGCTCACTTGTGACCGGGTCTATTAGTAGTGCTTCATTTAGTCTCCATGTCCACATGGAAAGTCGGAACAGGGCTGACTCGAGTTCGACGCTGACCGGGCTATGGTCTGACCAAGTTGCCGGTTCTATGGTCGCTTTTAGTAGGCGAGAGAGACCCTCTTGTTTAATGAAGAAAGTAGTGCGTGAAATCTTTGTCGGATGGGTTGAGGGCTGTCCAGCAGTTGACCAGATCCAAGCTGTTTAGCGAGTTCCGTATTGCTCGGATGCATCGTTGTGGTTTACAGCTATGTCCCGAGGATGAGTCTAGCGGTGGGTCAAGGTCAATTAAAGTCCCCCCCAATATTAACACACCTTCTGCAAACTCCTGTAGTTTGGCCAGTGCTCCTCTCAGGAATGTAGCTTGGCGTCTGTTGGTGACGTATATGGTTGCAAACGTATATATATTTTGTCCGCTATGAAACCCTTCAGGAAAAGAAAGCGCCCCTGTCCATCCTGGGTTCGTGTCAGTTCTTTGAATTTGAGGTCTGCTGCTATCATTATGGCTACTCCGGAATTACGAGCAGTGGGATGGTTGCAGAAGTAGTTGTTCGGATACGATGCATAACTGGGGGGCTGAGTCTTCCCTGAAGTGCGTTTCTTGAAGCATTGCCACTGCGATATGTTTTTTATTTAGTTCCCTCAGCAGGTGCTTTCTGCGTTCCAGGATGTTCAGTCCCCTACAGTTGATTGTCAGGACAGACAGTGGCTTGTTGCGGTATGTCATGTTTCTTCGCGGTTGTTGGCTCTCACTCTCCAGGAATATGGAGTCTAGCTCCCGAGGGCTCCCGGCCCCGCGGCAGATGCTCCCAGAACCCGTGACCCCGGCACGGACTTGGGAGGGGGGGGTAGGAAGGAGGGTGTTGGGGAGAAATGTGTGCTGGGGTGCGAGTGTGGTGTGGTGTAAGTTATGGGAGTGTGTGAGGGTGGGAGGTGTCTCTTAAGGGACTACACAAATCCCTCGTCTAGTCCTCTAATATACAGGGTGCTCGCGCGTCGGTTGGGCACGCTAGGGAGTCGCTCTGGTGACCAGCACCAGTAATGACCGTACCCGCAGTCCCACCGCAAAAGAATTTGCATGGGTCTAGGTTGGGTGACGCAGCTCAGGCCCCGTCCAAAGATAAGGCAACAAGCAAGGTGTAGTTCGGTCCGCTCCACCGAACCCTTCTCTGTGCATAAGATGTATCATATTATCATGGTTTCTATTTACACGTAGCTCGCATATTGCCAAACTGGATAAAACATTATGAAAGAATAATAAGAGGGTTTGAATCAACAGTCCCATATGCCCCCCACCCCTTCTCTTTACACCTGCAGTACATCACATGGTATTGAACTTCCGGACCCTCTCCTCCCGTCCTGGCTCAACCCGTCCTCTGAGTGTTGTGTTTTATAGTATCCTGTGTGTATAGAAGTCTATATCTGTCATGAGTTTTCTTGACTTCTCCTGGACCCTTCCCTTTGTCATGTTGGTCCTCTTTCGCATACCCAGACCCCAATCCTCTGGCCCCCTCGTCCGTAGGGATTCCTGTGTCATTAATTAGTCTCCATTTAAGGGTGGGCTATTGTGTTTCAGGGTGGGGCTATCTGTCTGTGTGCAGCTATGCGTTTGGACCACATGGGGGGGGAGGTTTCTTGTTTATCTATCTATAGTCAGGGTGGTGTCTAAGATGACCGTGGGTCCAGGTATCGGTCCCTCCTATCTAGCTCCCCTCTGTTGGTCTCATGTACTTATGCCATAGGGCAACCCTATATGAGGCTCCACTCCCTCCCAGTCATTTTCGCTTTTCTGTAGCCAGCGTGGTCTGCCTGGTCAGGGTGTTTTTCTCCCGTCGTTTGGGGGTAGTGCTTGGTCAAGTTGGATTGGGTTGCATCGGTCCCCATCTATTACTGTTAGTGTCTGCTGTCTTTTGGTCCCCATGTGTGTAGTGTGTTCCTTTCCGTCTTCCCCATTTCCTCTTTTCCCTAGTACCCCTCCCTGTAGATCATTGTTATATCTTAAGTTGAGCTAGTATCCAGGTATTAGCACTTTGTATGATTGCTAACAGGTAGTAACCTATCACATGAGGCTGATCAGGGACTAAGATCGTATTGAATTAAATGGTGGGGGTTGTCCATCACCAGCAGTGTGGGGTATTCGTGTGAGGGCTTTCGATGCGCCCCCCGTAGCTGCCCCTTAGATATTGTTCGTATACCCCTTGATGTCCAGGAGTCCCTTTTCTTGCGTTATGGGGTAATATGTCGTTGAGGTAAGTGTAGGTGAGTCCCAGTCTCCCAAGAATAGTTCTTCCCCAATTCGCTCCAGGGTAGTGCCGTCTGATCTCGCTGAGGAGGTAGGTGCCATCTTGGGGCTTCCCATGTCGCTGCTCCTGCTGGGTTGGGGCTGTAAAAATCCGTCAAGGGGGCCTTGTTGTGTGCCCCTCGGAGTCTGGGGGGCTTCCGAGCGTCTGTTGCGACCCATTTGATTAGTTTCGCTAAAGATCAGGTGCTTTCACGGGCACGGCGGAGCAGAGCTGTCCGATTATGCGACCATCTTGTTCAGCGTCCGAGCCACACTCCCCTAAGCAACTATTTCTTAACCACTCTGAAGCACCTAGTTATGCCAGTTACTCCACTATTGTTTAGCATAGATCGCTATTTTAGGCATTCCTGTTGTTTTCTTTCTTTATTTATAAAAGTGTCACGCTCTCTCACAAAGTGACCTTGATAATGCAATAATGAGATATATATAATAGAATATAACATGTATGCATGCAGACACTGGATATTGATACCTTAGAGAGGGTTCAGAGAAGGGCTACTAAACTGGTTCATGGATTGCGGGATAAAACTTACCAGGAAAGGTTAAAGGATCTTAACATGTATAGCTTGGAGGAAAGACGAGACAGGGGGGATATGATAGAAACATTTAAATATATAAAGGGAATCAACACAGTAAAGGAGGAGACTATATTTAAAAGAAGAAAAACTACCACAACAAGAGGACATAGTCTTAAATTAGAGGGACAAAGGTTTAAAAATAATATCAGGAAGTATTACTTTACTGAGAGGGTAGTGGATGCATGGAATAGCCTTCCAGCTGAAGTGGTAGAGGTTAACACAGTAAAGGAGTTTAAGCATGCATGGGATAGGCATAAGGCTATCCTAACTATAAGATAAGGCTAGGGACTAATGAAAGTTTTTAGAAAATTGGGCAGACTAGATGGGCCGAGTGGTTCTTATCTGCCGTCACATTCTATGTTTCTATGTTTCTATGTTTCTATGGTCCTAATATGTTTGTCTTTACTATATGACTTATTCTGTATATGTCCAGAATACATTACTACATCTCTTGTTCAATACCTGCCACAATAAAACAAAGATTGACAACAACAACAACAACAACAAAAATGATCACAATCTGTTCGAAGAACTTTTCAAATGAGTTATCTACAAAAATTCCCATAGACTTTAATGTTGACTTCCACAGATAAATATTTTGAAAAGTTTTTCTAACAGACTGTGGTCATTTGAAAAGCTCAAACAAAAGAATCCAAAATTACATTGCGGCCGCAGTGTATTATAATCTTATCAACCAGTGAAACACAGATGAAGGGGTTTGGGGTTTAATCAACGTCTTCCTAATAAATTAGTAGGTACTGAGACTTGTTTCAATAAACAGTTTCACGTTCAATTACCAGTCAAGTCCTACAAGTTAAATCTCCAGAATCAGTTAATATATTAAGACATTGGATGAGACATTAACATTACTGGCTGCTAAATTAAAAATAATAAAATGGTAGTGTGGCCACCAGCTGGGTACCTAAATACTTTCCTCCAGAAAACTGGAAAAAGGAGTGACAAAATACATAGAAACAAGATACATAGCTGAGATCCTTCTATGGTTGGGCATGGCATGATCTATTATTTTCTCCTTGTCAACAGTTTCTATATAAACACACTTTGTATTTTACCTTTTCATTCATGATCATGCCTTTAACTTCTGAACATAACCATAGCTGAGGAACATACTCCTGCCAGCAATCTATTTTTATGGTCTAATCATCACTCTGGTCAATTACTCTCCAGAATATTCTGTTAATATATAATTCTGGCCACTTTTTAGCTAAAAACTCCAGATGCCATCACTTCAAGAACAATCTCCGTCAGTTTCTTATCAATAAAAAGAGTCAGTTATAACAATTTACAATTATTTCCTATGTGGCAGAGTTATACATTTTTTATGAGAAATTTTAAAAAAAAACACATTCCTATAATATTTTTGTAGTAAATGCATTATTGTGGGGATGTTTTACCAAGCAGCATACTTAAATTAGAATATTTAAATGGAACAAATGAGGATCTCTCAGGTCTGTTCATTGCTTTTCTTAGAGAAGCATCGTGGTCCTATGGTGCTTGCACGGTTATTGAAATGCTTCTCATAGAGAATGATTGACTCCAATTCCTTTCTACTTTGAACCTTAAAAGTAAGAAAGAGCACATTCCCTTCTGTCCGACTGACAGCTGAGAGCGGGCAACCTGCAAGTTTTATTAAAAAAAAAAAAAAGCTACGTGCATTGCTGTTTTTTTGTGGATCTACAACAATGTTTTTTATCTAGTGGTAAAGTTGGAAAAAAATATCCAACATGGAATACCAGGTTCACAAAGTAGAGAGGAAAGCTATGAAGTAAATAGGAAGGTGAAAATAGATAGATAATGGAAAGGGAAAAATAAATACAAATAAAAAATGAATGAATAAATAAATAAACTTGTCCTATGCACTACACTCTACCGGTATCTCAAACCTCCATCCGAAGTTGAAAAAAATCATACTATACTTCAATATTACAGGGGACTCCATCCTTGTACCATACCAGGAGTGTTGCCTAGGAGGGAAGGTTCTCTTAATGTCCTAAATATAACAAGTTTGCATGAACACCCAGGCACCACTCTTGGTATGGTACAAGAATTGATTTCCCTGTAATAGTGAAGGTTTTTTATCTGCTGCTTGTTTTGTATTATTTTCATATAGTTGGTCCCATAACATTATTTGGGAAACAAAAGAGGCATTGCTAGACATTACTGTAAGGAGTTTAATTTACAGTGAACTCCAGTTATTAGAAAAGTAAAAGGTAAGAAACAGAGATTGTTTGACTACTTCTCCAATTTAACTACATTTTTCAATTGGGTTTTCAGTTCACTGCAGTTCACCATTTATTGAATAAACATGAACTGAAATATATTGCATTTCTATATTTTTTTTTAATCGTATTATGTTATTTGCAAAGCTATGAATTGTCAGGAATTTAAAGTGTATTGGGTTGGAAATCTGACAATTATTCATATCTGGCTATTTTGACCTAAAATTTTCAGTTCCATGTTGAATTCCTGACACTGCACAGTTTAGTGAATCTCCTGCAAGTTATCTAAACACATCATTTTAGAAATAGCATTTATACTATTATAATTATATTTCATCCCACATCATACTGCAAAAAGAAAAAAAGAAATCACAGAGGCAGTGATATGCCAACAGGCAGTGATATGCCAACAGACATTTACTGAATAAAAGGGTTACTCCAAGCAGCATGACCACTTAAATTTTTGAAGTGGTTATGGTGTACACTGTTTGTATGTACAGCGTTTCTGTATGATATGCTGCACATACCAAGTTTAACCCCTTGGCTGCCAGATGGGTAACTACTCCTCCTCCGTCAGCATTATGGGTTATTTCCAGGCTGGCTAAATTCAATTCTGAAAATATTCTGAAAAATATTTTGCACAGTATGCCATACATAGGCTGAGAGTGGTCAGCTGACATTCTCTGGATTGGCTGGATTGACGTCTGACTTCTGCAACTCTTTAGAAGTTAGAAGGTCATTGCCACAGCAGCAGGGAGTCTCACATGTAAGGGTACATATATAAGAGGTACACATGTAAGAAGGACAATGCTTCAATACTGAGTTTTCTTTACAGATCAGTCTTTGACAGAGACTGAATAGACCATTAGACTCATTAACCTAATGTTTACCTCTTTCATTTTTATTTCATTCCTCTCGGAATGCTTTCTGCTGACATCCAGGTGCAAAGGACAAAGCTCATAATCATGAGTCACAGAGAGCATTTAGGGAGGCAACTAGTTGCAGGAATACGTAGGTGTAGACATCAACATTTAATTCTATTTTTCTCAAATGCATATTTATTAATTATACATTAAATATACATCTTTAATGGATAGTCATCACTAGAATGTGTGATGGTAAAATTCTGAAAGTCCAGTATATAAAGCTTGGATGGGTAACACTAAAGTCAGAATAGCTGGGAATTCAAAGTGAAAGGTTGTTTTCATTGAATTTTTACACCGTTTTTAAACAGCAGTCGACTGCCCTGTCTTGCTCAACTGGAAAATCCTAAAAGGAAAGCAAGCTTTTGTCAGATAGAGGTTGGCTTCAAACCTGCAATATGGCCTTGTGGCCCAACTATTGTACTCTTTTTATTAGGGTAATGGGGGTTAGGAATAGGACCCAGCTTTAAAATTCCAGTCTGATTTGAAGACTAGATAATTTGTGTTTAGTCAAATTGTATTGGACTTCCTTCCAGGATTTACCCAGAAACAATGATACAGGTCTATGTGGTGAGCTGGACATTTTAAAGCAGATTGCGTTGGATTGCATTACAAGTTTCAACTGTACTAAAAGTAATCTACCTGCTAAACAGCACTCTAATTTGATATGCTTTGGAAAAATGGAAATGATGGTGCCCAAACTTAATTTTGCTTCTGGATTTTTTATATTCTATTGAATTGACAATTTTCAAATGCCAGACAACCCAAAATAAAAAAAATTAACAAATGAAATTGAAACAAATTAAATCGGATTTTTCACTTATGCACATCTCTACTTACCAGGTTTGAGAAAATTGATAAATGGTTAAAAGTTAATTCCACATTATCAGGGCTACTGTAAGCGCAGTCCCTCTGCACCAAGAACGTAACTTTGTGAACTCATTCTTATATGGTTTAATATTAAATCGGGGATGACGAAGGGGCACACTAATAACCAATTCATTGAGTAGTGGGTTATCTTTATACGGTTTTAAAAAAATCGATTTGCATTAAAGACAAATGAGATTGAAAGAAAATTAGATGTCATAATCACATTTATTCTGTCAGTAAGATATGTATTGATTTGTTTCAAGTCAGCCCTATCCCCATGATAGAGCAAAAATACTTGAATATATTATTCAGACATTCATTTTATTCTTTACAATTATGTATTACTGATCTCTACAACTTTCAGAATTCAAAGAATTTAAAGTGAAATAACAATTGAAGCTTAAAGGACCACTATAGTGCCAGGAAAACAAACTAGTTTTCCTGGCTCTACAGTGTTAATAGGTCTCCCCCTCCCGACGGGCTCTACGGAGAGGAAGAGGGAAAAAGGCTTACCTTTCTCCAGCGCCAGGCTCCCTCGGCGCTGGGGACTCTCCTCCCTCTTCTGACGAATGCGCATGCGCAGCAAGAGCTGCGCGCGCATTCCATTAGTCCACAGGGAAGCATTTCTCAATGCTTTCCTATGGACACAAGCGTCTTCTCACTGTGAAAATCACAGTGAGAAGCGCGGAAGCACCTCTAGTGGCTGTCAATGAGACAGCCACTAGAGGCTGGATTAACCCTAATGTAAACATAGCATTTTCTCTGAAACTGCTATGTTTACAGCTGCAGGGTTAACCCTAGATGGACCTGGCACCCATACCACTTCATTGAGCTGAAGTGGTCTGGGTGCCTGTAGTGGTCCTTTAATATTTTTAAAAGAAGTGAAAGAATTCTTAAAGGAACATATTTAACATTAATTGTAGAAAAATAGATTTCTGGTGTATCTAGTTACTGGCTTACATAACAATTGAGCTAAAAATAACGTTTTTTTTTACAGTTTTCTTGTATTTGGATATTTTTATCTAAAGTTAACATGAAACCTAGGGCTAATCAATGTTGTTAGAGGGATACATTGCAATATATTGGTAATCCATTGACTCACTGATACCTATGTGAAAATTGTCAAGAAGCAACCTTAAAGGTTTACTCTAAGCACCAAAACAACATTAGCCGAATGAAGCAGTGTTGGTGTACAAGCTATGTCCCTGTAGTCTCACTGCTCAATGTAAAAAGTGTAATTAAGCTCATGGCTACACACACAATATATTAGAAAGTGGAGAAAAAAGCATGAATAAATTACCCAAAATCTAGCGAATGCACTTAAGATGTGTTGGTAGCTGGAGTGTTCCTTCACTATGGACAATGGCTATAACAGTGTAGTAATCTGTCTAATGATCTACTGATATATATAGTCTGTACATGTGTCACGGTTTCGGTAAAGAATTCTCTCATTTCCTCCAGTCCAAGTAGTATGCCCTGTACACTGTAACATTGAGAATTCCAATGGAGCAGCTGTGATTCAGCATGACATCCTATACAGTCTCTATACCAAGATCTATTACACTTGTAAAACCCAATCAGCTTTGCGTGTACACAGGGTTGGAACTAAACAAGGTAAAAGTGCAATAACTCAGGTAGTAAATTATATAATAATATCATATATTCAAATCCTAGGGTTGCAGTTCTTGGCAGAGCTGACTCACTGTCATTTGAGGTAGATAAAATGAATATCATTAAGTTGGGTAATAGTTATATTTGTTAGGACGTGGATCAATATTTAACCAACTTCTAGGCAGGATTTGACTAGATGCCTTAAAGAAAACTATGCAGTATTAAGTCCTTATCACATATACTACATTGTGCCTACACCAATCTATTGCTTCCCCATTCTTAGACAAGAGTCAGTCACTAGGCAACATGTTAATGCACTGCCAACAAGCCTTTTTTTTGAGTATAATCAATTTCTATCTTCCTTGTACTATTTTATTATCTGTAATCTCTTCTGTTTTTGGCTATATTCCCACCGTTCTCCAAATGTCTCTCAACCACAGTATGTTTTCCCCATTTTTCTATCCCCATAGTTTCTATCATCCAATTGATTTATAGCCTTCCATATTCACCGCATTCTATTTATTATACCATATAACCTTTCTCTCTGTTTCCCTCCTATCCTCTATAACTACCATCTCTTTTCCACAGTGTGTGCCGCTGTATGTGCCTGCCGTTTACGTCACCCTGAATTTCCCTAATATTTCAAACCAAAACTCCCCAAACTATCTCAAACATCCTTCTGGGTTCATCAGTGTGTAATCCTTTTCCAAGCTGTCATACAACCTGTTTACAAATGATATATCTACAAAACATCTCACTAGGTTCACCCAAACCCGAACATTGTTACTAATTCCAAATATCTCAAAGGAACACTCTGGGCACCATAACAACCTCACATGTGTTGTTATTGTGCTAGGTGATCCCTGGCACTGGCTCACTTCTGGTGTGGTTAAACCATTCATAAATTATCAATCCCAAAAGTCTGTGTTCCAGCTCTGGATCTCTCTTCCCCTGCCCTTCCATTTGCTAAAAAGGCTGTAAAACAGGAGATTATGAGTACCACTGGCAGGGACGCCGCTGATTGGCTGAGATCAGTCAGCTGATGCTCTCAGCCATTCAGTGGCTCCCAATTCACAAAACGTGAGAAAAATATGTATGTTTTTCAATCTGTTTTTCAATCAGTGGCACCCCTTCCAGTGGCAGCCATAATCTTCCATTTTAAATATTTTTAGCAAATGGAAGGAAAGGGGAAGAGAAACTTCAAGAATGGGTTAACCCCTAAAGGTGAGCAGCACCAAGGACCTTATTATGGTCCGCAAACCAAATGGTTCCTTTAATGCTTTATGTTTTCACTTTCTAAATATTCTTCAGTGTCTCACCTTTTTCAAAAATCTGCTTTCCCCAGAATTGTCAACCTTTCCTTCAATTCGCAAGGCCCACAATTGTGTCACCTGTCTCTTAATACCTCGTGGCCCTAAATCACTTAAAAGCTGGATTATCCCCTCAAATGTCAACCACCAAGTACCTCACAACTCTATGTAATTAGTTGCCAAGCCAAAGCAGGGCTTATCATTGGAGATCTAATGGTTTGAGCTCTGCCTGTGCACCCTCACATTGATTGGGGTCTTGAAATTGGACAGTACTCCTCATATGTTACTTAAATCACTTTCCATCATCATATATACTGAGCCCCAATATACCGTGTTAAAGCATTAAAAGTGACCTGTGTGTGCGCACATGCTCAGATCTCATGATCTGTCACAAAGTAGAGGAAGAATGAAAAACTATATAGAATAACTCTTGAATCTCTGTGTACCTATGCAATGGAGCAGCAGAATTTTTGCTAGGTCAATGAAGGTAGATTGGTTGGACAGACTGCATCTAGACTCTTACTTGGCTTTTTTTCTCACTTTTCTTTTTTACCAAATGTATTTTTCTCCTCATTTTCTTCACCAGTTTTCCTCCCTTTTTGCCTTCTCCACAGACTATTTTCATCATTTCAAATGAATGATAACTACCAAATATCTCACTTTACCCACAGTGTCTCAAACATTGATTGCTACACCGAGTGTCTTATTCACCTATCAGCCCTCTGACTGTCTCAGTCCAACCTCAAGTGTCTCATCATTCCCTCAATCTCTCAATATTAAGAGTTTTTCATTCTATTTTCAATGTCCTAATTCCTTCTTAATTCTCACACTCACCATGCTGTAATCCTTTGTAATGCATGTGGCACCAACAAAATTAATTTATAGAGTAATTATGGGAGAAATACAATGGATATACAGTGGAACTTAGGAACTTGAACTCTTTTACCTGAACAATTTGTTAGTAAAACATAAAATGTGAGAAAAAAACTTCTTGGTACCCAAACAAAACTAATACGTTCAACATGTTTTTATTGTAAAATATAATTAGGGCTCTCAAGGCCAACTGTGTCAGTCTATTTCTGTTTGTGTTTTGTTAATATGTCTTGTATCCAGCCATGCATAATTTGTTGGCACTATAAATATAAACTACAAAAAAAAGTTTTGTCTTATCCTATCCAAGTCTCTAGAATGCAATATTAAACAAATTTCCTGTGGGTTTGATAAGTCTTCAGTACTCATTGTAGACCTAGGAAGCAAGACTATAGATATATTTGTATTTGGGTGTTAAACTGGCCTCTTTCCCTGGGTATTATAATTACTGTTTGATTATGCAGTGCCTTCTGGGAGTTGACATACACTAAAGCTTTATTCTACCCCAATTATTAGTGATTTTTTGTAAATGTACCAATGATTCTTTAAGGTTGTGTTAGTAATGATCTACATCAGGTAAAACATAGCCATGCTAGAAGAAAACTTGATAATCACAACGCACATCGAACTAGACTGTCTGTGTGCAACTCAGACCACAACTGCTGAATGTTATGGGGGTGGCTGTTTGTTCGCATCCTGTTTTGGTGGTTTATCAAATAACAGATTACTACTAGTTGCTAACCACCACATAAACGTGTGAAACCATCAAAAAGTAAAATGAATCACTTGAATGGTGTTTTTACCTGCAAATTGAGACTTGTTGATGCTAAATGGTTTTATAGACAAAACCGCCAGCCGCATGGGTATTTATAAATGATTAGTACTAAAATTGAGATTTTTACCCAAACACAAATACTAATGTCATTTTTAACGTTTTCACATGAGAGCATGAGGAATCAATGCATGCAGTTGGTTTTAAACTCTTTAGATTATATCTGGGATGCGGTAGCCCAGCTCTCTCAACCTATCATGCTTTCCAAGACTGAGCTTATTTGCAGTTGATGATCAAGAAGTGTAGTTTTTACATTATCCATCCAGCAGTACAGGGTCAGGCCTTGAGTGCCAGGGAGAACACTTTGTTTGTCAAACCAAATAAATTTGACAGAAAAACCAAGGGATAACCCATAAATCATAAACAGATAATCACTGCAATGAGCTGGGCATGGTCAGATTCACCATCCCTCCTATCCCAATGCCAGTTTTCTTAACCCCTTATGGACCAGACTGTTTTTGCAATGTTGTACATTTGCGACCAGGCATCTTTTTACACTTTTGTGGTGTTTGTGTTTAGCTGTAATTTTCCGCTCTCTCATTTACTGTTCCCATACAAATTATATATTGTTTTTTTCAGGACAAAAAGGGCTTTCTTTACATACCATTATTTATATAATCTCATGTAATTTAATTTTTTAAAAATTTAAAAATATGATGAAAAATGGAAAAAAATACATGTTTTTTGACTTTTACTTGAAAAATCTTTTACTCATCTACAAAAGCGAATGAAAAAAACTGCTAAATAGATTCAAAAATTTGTCCTGAGTTTAAAAATACCCCGTGTATACCTGCTTTTTTGCTATTTTTTTGCATGTTATAGGGCTATAAGTACAAGTAGGATATTGCGGTTTCAAAACATACATTTTTAAAATGTATCAATAGTGACATTGTAACACTATTATCGCTCATAAATCTCTGAATAACACCCCGCATGTACATATTTTTTAAAGTAGACAACCCAGGGTATTCAATATGGGGTATGTCCAGACTTTTTTAGTAGCCACTTGCCAAAGTCGCAAACACAGGCCAAATTTAGCGTTCATATTTGTTTGTGTTTGAAAAAAGTAAAAAACTAAATTGAACGCTAATTTTGGCCAGTGTTTGTGACTAAGTGGCTACTAAAAAAGACTGGACATACCCCACTTGCAATACCTTGGGTTGTCTTCTTTTGCAAATGGTATGCCATCATGGGGGTAATTCTCATCCTGGGCTACCATACGCTCTCAAAGGCAACGTAACCAACCTGGCCATTTTCAATGTAAAAATATTTGACCCATATATTTGACCCTGTAACTTTCAAAAACTCTATAAAACCTGTACATGGGGGGTACTGTTATACTCAGGAGACTTTGCTGAACACAAATATTAGTGTTTCAAAACAGGAAAATGTATCACAACAATTATATCATCAGAAAAAGTGCTGTTTGTGTGTGAAAAATGCAAAACAAGTCACTTTCACTGACAATATCATCGCTGTGATATGTTTTACTGTTTTGAATCACTAATATTTGTGTTCAGCGAAGTCTCCCGAGTAAAACAGTACCCCCCATGTACAGGTTTTAGGGTGTCCTAGAATGTTACAGGATAAAATACAGTGCTAGCAAATTAAATTCTCTGGACTTTTGGCCTGGGTTGGCAGGCAGGTCCCTCAAATTGCAATCAATAAATTTACTTAAATATGTAAAAATATTACATAAATATGCATGTAGAATTTAAATATATATGCATATTTATATATTTGAAGTCTACGTGTATATTTATATAATTATTTATGTAATTTTGTATATGGACATATGTATATTTTGTATTATTTTTATTTATTTATATATACATAGATATGTATACAATTTCATTCTAAGTGTATTTTGATATATATTGATATCAAAATACAGTTAGAATAAAATTTCATATAGATATATAATTTTTTTAAATTTTTAATTATTATTCTAATTTTTTTATTTAATTTAAATTACTTATTATTTGTATTTTTTAATAATATATATATATATACAATATATATAGTTATTATATATATTATATATATACGTGTGTAATTTAATTACAAGTGTATTTATATATTAATATATGTACATATTAATATAAAAATACTCTTAGCATGACTTACCTGAGTCCAGCGCCGATGTCCCTTGGCGCTGGTCCAGGGTCCGCCCACGCTCCTCCCCCGCCGACGTCATCTGGCAGGGGAGACTGATTGCGCATGCGCGGCCGCCGGCGGGGTGAGACCTAATGCGCATGCACGGCAATGCAGCACACGTGCATTAGACCTCCCTAAAGGAAAGCATTGAAAAATGCTTTCAATGCTTCCCTATGGGAATTTTAATGACTCTGGAGGTGCTCACATAGCGTGAGGACATCCAGCGACGCTATAGCACAGAAAATCTGTGCTAGAAACCCGGAAGTGCCCTCTAGTGGCTGTCCTCTAGTAGACAGCCACTAGAGGAGGAGTTAACCCTGCAAGGTAAATATTGCAGTTTATGAAAACTGCAGTATTTACAGTTGTAGGGTTAGGGGAATTGGGAGTTGACACTCAGATCACTCCAATGGGCAGAAGTGGTCTGGGTGCCTGGAGTGTCCCTTTAATTTCTTGATTCACTTTCCCACTAAGTCACATTGGTTTCAATTTGTTTCTTTTATATTTATTACCCAATGGTACATACTGAGAAATGTACCTTTCTAATATTTGCTGGATATTCCATTTATCCTCAGTGTTCTTTTCGCTAAAGAGTTTATGCCAGTCAATATATTGTAAAGCTCCCCTTAACTTATTGAAATTGGCCTTTTTAAAATTATATGTTTTGGTATACCCTACGTGCTTTTGTTTTTTTAGTTTATTTCAAAGGACACTATATTGTGATCACTCTTTCCCAAGTGCTCACCTACTTGAATGTTGGACAAAAAATCACCGTTGTTTGTTAGAACCAGGTCCAGACAAGTATCCTCTCTAGTTGGTGCTTGTACAAGTTGTGACATGAAGGTGTCATTTCAACAAGTTCAAAAACCTAATTCCCTTTGCTGAATTACTAGTCCCTCTGTCCCAGTTTATGTCCGGGTAATTCAAATCTCCAATAATTAACGTGTTACCCAGATTTGCAGATTTCTTAATTTGCTATTGTTCCTCATCATTATTAACATTAGGTGGTTTATAACATATTCCAACCAATAACTGATTTCCCTTCTTTTGCCCTAAGCATATATTTACCCATGAAGCTTCCACATGTTCCTAATTACTTTCCACTTGCTTAAGATTTGGCTTTAACTCATGGTTGACATACAAACATACCACACCACCTTTCCTGTTTTGTCTATCCTTCCTAAAAAGTGTGTACTTATTTAAGTTAACGGCCCAGTTATGTGTCTCATCCCACCATGTTTCAGTTATGCCTATTACACCCCATTGTTTAGTGTATGCTATTGTCTCAAGTTCCCCCATTTTGTTATTTAAGCTCCTTGCATTATTAAGCATAAATTTGATATTATCATGAGTCACTTGTACTTGTTGTGACTTTTTATCAATATTACATACCTCCTCTGTCCTGAGCTTGTCCCTCCCCCATCCCCTCCCCCCTCTTATACTCAGCTCTAGCCCATCTCCTTTTTGTCCTATCTCCATTTTCTAGATTGCCATCACCCCCCCCCCCACCCACTACAAGTTTAAAATCTCCTCCAAGCTTCTAGCCATCCTGTCCCCCAGCACTGTAGACCCTCTCCCGTTTAGGTGCAATCCATCATTTCTATAAGGGTTGTACCCAAGTGCAAAGTTGGCCCAGTGCTCTAAAAACTCAAAACCCACACCTGCACCAAGACTTCAACCACGCATTGACCTCTCTAATCTCCCGCTGCCTTTCCACTGTAGCGTGTGGCACAGGTAATATCTCAGAGAATACCACCTTGGAGGTCCTTTTCTTAACTTTGCTACCTAATTCCCTGAAATCGTTCTTTAGGACCTTCCATCTTCCTCTAACTTTGTCATTGGTACCAGAATGGACCATGACTGTTGGGTCATCCCCAGCCCCTACCAATAATCCCTCCACTCTGTCAGCAACATGCCAGACCTGAGCACCCGGGAGACAGCAAACTGTCCGGTTGACCCGATCAGAGTGGCAGTTTACCCTATCTACTCTCCTAATGATAGAGTCCCCTACCACTACAACCTGTCTAGCCTTCCTTACATTTTCATCCCTCGGCTGTTAGAAGGAACAGTTTCCTCTCCCAACATCTTCACTCAAACGGACAAATCTGCTAGGTTGCACAAACTCAAGATTAGCTAGCCCTTTCCTCTTCCCAACCCCCCCCTCCCCACTACCTCACCCACTGTCACCCAGCTACGTGCCTGTTCCCCATCTGTCTTATCTCTTCCCACTACACTACCTGTCCCCACTAAATTCTGCTCAGTGAACAGCAGACTCCTCTCAAGATTATCGATCTCCCTCGATGTTGCAATTTGCTTCCGGGATCTCCAATCTGAGCTTCCAGATAAGCCATTCGCACACCTGTCACAGGTGGACCCTGGACAGATACATCCAGCCATTTATACATGCAACAAGATGAGCATTGAGTCAAACCAGCAATCTTGCTAACACTTATTTTCCCAGATACAGAACAGTAACACAATTACCTTGCTGTTTTAAACCCCTTGTTAGTTTAAACTCCTGTTTTTTTAACTCCTACTTAACAGAGTCGGCTTTTAAGCAAATGTGAGCAAGCTCAGTGAGTTAGGGGTGTGCTCATATGGGAATACAAATCCCACACAGGTGGAAATTAAGGAAAACTCCCCCAATTAACCAAGCAGCAGCACAAATGAGGTTTAACCCCTAAAATGGTTTAACCCCTAAAAGGGAGCAAGTCAGGACCTCCTGGCACCATAATAATTTCATTTAGATAACATTTTTATGATGCCCGGAGTGTCCCTTTAAGATTAAAGTAGATGAACCGGTAGCATAGATAAGATAGAGAGTTATACCAGTTGGGCTATATTGGCCATAAATTTGACCTCAAAGGAATACAATCAAGTGTCAGTAATCTAAACATTCATTCCTAACACCATAGTGTTAAACTAACTATTTACATCCTTGGCGCCCACTTAGATCTAATTAAAAAGGAGATATTACTCACCTTTTCTCTCACAATGCACCAGTCTTGCTGTTTGACTGTTTGACTGTTTGACGCCACCTCCATGAGTGAGATCATCAACCTAGATTATCTCAGTCTATCCAATGCTTTCCCATAGGCAAGCTTTGGGAGGCTATGGTGCATGCGTGGAAAAACGCCACGCTGCGCCATTCAGTATCTTCTCATAGGAGGCATCTCTATGGGGAACGTTCAGCCCCTCCATGCAAAGGGTGGAGACGCTGAATGCAAATGTGCAACACTGTACTAAAAAGCATCTCTAGTGGACGTCTGAGCAACAGCCACTAGAGGTGTTCATAGGAAGCAGGCCTAGACTGGCCATCGGGCAAACCGACAAATGCCCGGTGGGATGCAATGGCCATGGGCTGAGGCTAGCAGAGATCAAAAAATCTCCCCTGCTGGCTCAAGTATAGCAGATTGGCCCCGAGAGAGGGTCAGAAGAGCTCCTTTCCCTCATTGTCTGGAAGGGAATTTGGTAATGGAGTAAAGGGCCTCCAGGCTGCATGCAGGGCAACTCTCTTGCGATCTCCGATATTATCAGAGGATTGCCGGGGTAACCCACGGCAACGCTGTGAAACTCCAGCTCTCCCTGCGGAGGTACAGACCACATCACTAGCCCACTGGATCACCCCCTGCAAGGTAATAAGGGGAAAAGGAAGTAAATATGTAGTTTTTTTTATTTTAATTTAAATAATGAAATAAGAAAATGTATTATTTAACTCTATCCAGCCCTTATATACATGAACTATACCCCACCACTTACACAATACGCCTATATATACACCCCCTATATACACACTGCACCTACACACTACACCCTATATATACACCCCTTATATACACACTGCACCTACACATTAAACCCTATATATACACCCCCTATATACACACTGCACCTACACACTATACATCCTATATACACCCCCTATATACACACTGCACCTACACACTACACACACTATACACCCTATATACACCTCCTATATACACACTACACACTACACACACTATACACCCTATATACACACTGCAACTAAACACTACACACACTATACACCCCCTTTATACACAATACACACCTATATACACACACACACACTACACCCCCTGCACACTACACCCCCTGTACCAACACACTACACCCCCTGCACACTACACCCCCTGTACCAACACACTACACACCCTGCACCTACACACTACACACCCTGCACCTACACACTATACCCCCTATACATACACACTACACCCCCTGCACCTACACACAGTGGCGTACCTACCATGGTTGCAGGGGTCCCGGCTGCCGCCACAACCCCTCAGACCATGGGCCGCCTAGATGCCGCCCCCTTGGTGTTCCCCCTGTCATAGGGGGGTCCAAGAGGTGGCCCACTGGCCACCTAATGGACCCCCCCGGCGGGCAGCAGAGAGAGTCTGATGTGGTGAGGGAGCTATGTTCTGTCTGCTCCGCTCCCTTGTGTGCCGTTTGCTGATGCTGGGAGCCAGAATATGACGTCATATTCCGGCACCCGGCATCAGCAGACAGCCCGCGCGGGAGCAGAGCAGAAAGAACACAGCTCCCTCGCCGCATCCGACAGGAACTCTCCCGCCCGCTGCACTGAAGCCCCTCTGGACAGATCCAAGCCAGCTCTCCAGGTAGGAAGGCTGAGTGGACATTAAATATTAATAATTTGTGTGTGTCTGTAAGTGTATGTGTCTGTAAGTGTGTGTGTGTGTGTCTGTAAGTGTATGTGTGTCTAAATGTGTGTGTGTGTGTCTGTAAGTGTATGTGTGTCTGAGTGTGTATGTGTCTGAGTGTGTGTGTTTAAGTGTATGTGTTTTAGTGTATGTGTGTCTGGATGGGTGTGTGTCTGAGTGTGTGTGTGTCTGTAAGTGTATGTGTCAGTGAGTGTGTGTGTGTCTGTAAGTGTATGTGTGTCTGAGTGTGTGTGTGTGTCTGAGTGTGTGTCTGTGAGTGTATGTGTGTGTTTCTCTGCATGTGTCTATGTATGTCTGTATGTATGGGTATCTGTGTGTATGTTTGTATGTATGTGATTGCATGTGTATCTGTTTGCATGTGTGTGGGGGGGGGCGGGGACATTTGGGGTAGCAGGTAGATGTATGGGGGGCCCCAGGGCAATTTCTATTTATGCCTCTGCCTACCCACACTATATACACACTACACACTATACCCCCTGTGTACAAACTACACCCCCTGCACTCACACACACACACACTCTATACCCCCTATACACTGCACTCCCTATAAACACACACATTACACCTCCTGCATACATACATACATACATACAAATGCACTACACACTCTATACCCCCTATAAACATCCCACCCATACTATGCCCATATACACCTCCTGTGTACCCACTGTACCCCTATGCACACACTACTCCCTTATACACACTATGCCACCTAATATTACCACACCAATATACACAATGCCACCCCCTGCAGCTCCTAGCTTCACAAATACAGTCCTTACATGCAAACGCAACACACCACACACGCTCTAAAGGCCCTATAAACACACACACACATAATATACAGCCCAAAAACACACCTATACACTACAGGCTAGCTAAATATTATATACATACATTTTTGAAAAGGCAATGTTTACAGTGATCAGCCTGCACAGACATGTTATACATGCCAGAACAACTATATTAAGCTGCAGTGGATCTGGTGAAGTCACTTAAGTGAATAACCCCTGTTATTGTTTATCAGAAATATCAAAATATAGCTTAGTCAGTATGAGTAACAGTGTTTACCGTAGTTCTTTGGTGTCTGCTCATAAATCATGCAGGGTGTTTTTTGCTATACTGCAATGTTCAACATAAGCTTTACATCATGCTCATAACATGCTTCTGTTTTTGGCTCAATTTCATTATTTTTTACATTACAGCGAAAAGAAAATGTTCTCTACCAAAGCCTGAAAATGTAACATACTCAAACTCAAACAATATTCTGAATTGGGCAGCCCCAAACATTTCAGGATCTAACAGAGACTTGCTATATACTGTGAAGTATTTAATGTAAGTTAAACCTATTATATGTTTAGCATTTATTCTTAGATTACACTATGCAAAACAGCTTGAAGAATAATAAGTGTAATTATATTAAAGTAAAGTTTAGGTTGAGAATCTATCTATCTATCTATCTGTCTATCTATCTATCTATCATACTTATTGCATAAGTAGCAGCTCTACTGGCGAGAAGTGACAGCACATTTCAGATGCCCATCCCACACAAGTGGCACACAATCAGTGACGTGTTCAGTAACATAAACCATTAGAGGCATATTTCCATACCTACTTTGTGTAAGTATGCCAGAGCCCCTCCAGTAGAATGTACTTTTAGGCCACATATTTGGTAGTGCACTGTTAGATAGATGGGTTTATTTGATACATTTGGGAATTTAAAATACAATGTATTGCAATATGAAAAATTGTGCAAATTTGTAAAAGTGTGGCAATCAACCAATGGGATGTGTCTGCTTATCCCACTGGTTTTGATGGTGTTTGCACCACTTTTACACTCTTGCCTCACTTTTTAGTTCACAGAACTTTGATAAATCTCCTTCATTGTTCATTATTCATTGTATGCTGTATTTTTATAACTTTTCAGGTCTGTTTGTTTTTGTCTTTTTTTTTTGTATTATCTAAAATCCTTCTTTCTCTCTGTACAGATATGGTAAAGGAGTCTGGGAAATTGTGAATGGGTGCAGAGAACTCAATAGAACCTGGTGTGACTTGTCAAAGGAAATCCCTTATTATGACTATTACCATGCTAAGGTTTATGTGACTGGCAAATGCTGTTGCACCTCGGAAAAAACAGAGAGGTTTTTTCTAAAACGTAAGTGCTTGTTTAAGTTTCTGGAAAAAAAAAATGTATTACTACTTACCAGACATTTAAATTCCTGGTCATAGGCCCAACAATGGTTGCTACTCCCTATCCCTATGTAGATAGGAACCTAAATAAAAGAAAAGGTATAAATGATCATTTCCACTCCTCTGACACTTAGTCTTGTTTCAAGCAATATTCTAGGAGAGGATCATTGTGCTACCATGAACAGGAAAAGGAAATTAGGGTAAGTATGAATAAATGTTCTCTTTTCTTGGTCATATCCATGGCAGCACAACAATGAGTAATGCCCAACCAATAATCAAGAGAGGGAGAAGACAAAACACACAATCTGAAATTACCAAATGCAAATGTATTGAAATAACCAAAGTAACAATCCAACGATGAAAAATATTGTACATATTTACAAATTAGATACCGAAAGAATACTCTTACCAAAACTATCAAATTCACCCACTCTGACATCCTACTGTAATGCCTAATAAAGGAGTTAACAAAGGCCCATATAGCTCTACATATCAGTACTGGAGAAACTTTAAATGAGACAGTCCATGAGGATGAAAGGGACCTGGTAGAATGAGCCTGAAGTCCATCAGGAACAGGAACACCTGAGACCTGGATAATGGCAGAAATAATCCATTTACTAATGGCCTCTCCTTGCCCCACTAGGGATAACAAATAGTCTTTGTGACATACGCCAGTAAGAATCTATAACCGTAGAGCCATTAATGTCTTACCAAGCCAAGTGCAGAGGATTCTATTTCTTTTTTTTCAATATGTCCTTAGTAGAGGGATTTTGAAATATTTTTAGGAGGAGCCCAGAAAGAGAAGCCATCCCATTCTCTGTAATATGCCACTGAAGTAGAACTCCTTCTGGCTTGCAAAAAGAGTGCCAATACATCATAGATGACGTCATTGTGCTCGGGAGAAAAAACAAAACTGCACATGCATCAGGACAACGGTACCATTGCAGCTCCTGAAGTCCACCACATTTGGGGGAGGCTAAAAACACTGTGAAAATGCTGTGAAAATGCCGTGAACATCAGGAAAAAAGTAAATACTTTAGAATTGTCGAAAAACACCAGAAGCAACCCAGGAAGCAAGGAACCAGGATGCCTGCAAAGAGAAAAGCTAACAGAATCAACCAGGAAAATACATATATTAAATGAAGGTATACATGTAAAAAAAATATGCATAACAGCATGCAACACTTGCTACCCCTAGGCTCAATGCAAGCTATCCCTATATATATATCTATATATATATATATATAGATATATATATATAGATATATATCTATATATATATATAGATATATATATAAAGGGGAACTGTCAGGGGAACACATTTGTACAGAGCCATAATCTGGAAGAGAGGATGAAAAATGTTTATAGTCAAAAAATTACAGAGTCTGTCCTATAGAGATATGAACTAATTCACTAAGGAGTGGAAGGGGTATTTATATGTTTTCTTTTAATTTTCTTCCTGTCTAATTAGGAATAGGGAGGATCTACCCATTGTTGTGCCACCATGAATTTAGCCAGGAAGTGTGTGTGTGTGTATATATATATATATATACACTCCCTCTTTGCTCTTTGAATTCTGTGGTTTTACATATCAGGACATAATCATCTGTACCTTAGCAGATTGTAAGATTATGTAAATACAACAGAGGAACAACAACAACACATGACATATTACACCGTGTCGTGATTTATTTAACAAAGAAACAAAGCCAAAAGGACAAGCCATGTGTTAAAAATAAGGACACCCTTATTGCTTCCATAGAAATTAAGAGGCTACATAAATTGATGTTTAGTAAATATCCTTGATTATTGATCGAATTAAAAAAAAAACATAATTAACAATGCCACTATTAAAAAACAATAATAACCTGATTCGCAAAAATGGAGGAAATAAATTAAAAACAAATTAAAAGCAACATAAATAAATCCATGTGAACTCTATGTTGGCTCCATGCATAAAGAGGTTTCAATAAAGGAAAAACCTTTATAAAGGCTTTCCTACATTTTTAATTCTCAGTAGAGCACCCTGATTGTTTTGTTTTTTGTGGCATGCATTGGCCAGCTGCCATTGAGTTAATCCTCATGCCACTCAGGTATTTTTTAAAATTATTTGTCCACTGGCTGCTAACACTGTCAGCAGGCATAGTCCAGATTTGCAGCATCCGGGCTCAGATTTTAACAATCTGGGCCCAGATTTCAGCTGCACCAAGCATTACTGGAAATCAGGATTTTCTATTCTGATTTCAGAGTTTAGTGAAAGGTGAAAAGGTATTCCTGACCGTATAGTGTTAAAAACACCATCTAGTTCCTTTGTCCCCCATTGACACCCTAAATATAGTAAAATGTTACCTTTATTCCAGTCTGCTGCTGCTGGCTCTGCCCCTGATCTGCCTGCGTGGCTGACATAATCACAAGTGGTGACCTGAGCCAATCACCATGCTCTCCCATGCGAAAGCAGTGAATTGGCAGAGCCAGGACAAATCAAACACGGTCCTGACCAATTAGCATCATTTCATAGAGATGCATTGGGTCAATGCATCTCTATGAGGAAAATTCAGAGGGTATCCATGCAGAGGCTGGATACACTGAATGACAGTACTGCACACTGTGCATCACTGCCCCATGAAGCACATGTAATAGTGATCTGAGGAGTGGCCATTGGAAGTATCCCTATGCTGTAATGTAAACATTGCATTTTCTCTGAAAATACCTTGTTTACTACAAAAAGTCCGAAGGGACTGAGAACAAATACAATAAGTTGTCATTGTTCTGGTGACTATGTTGTCGCATGAACCTATAACTTATGTTTACAATGTTTTTTAAGATGCTCAGTTTTTTTCTATTAAATTTTAACTAAAGGTTAATTATAGCACATAATAACACAGTGTGGACTAGGCAAAGCCAGGTCAAACATTACAAATAAAGAGAAGAAAAAGTAACCTTGTTTAATTTCTCCTCTTCTCTGTATGCATTTTTTGTACCAAGGGTGTCCAAAAGGTAGATCACCAGATGTATTAAAACTACAGCTCCGTGGTGCTTTATCATTCCGAAGGCATGCAAAGCATCATGGCAGTTGTAGTTCTACAACATCTGAGGATCTACCTTTTTGGCACTACTGCTCTACACTAACTGCCAGTTTCAAAAGACAAAGCTTATAACAATGACTGAGAGAGAGCTAGGATGGAGGCAACCAGTTGCAGGATAAAGAGGTTTGGATTTCTACATTTAATGTTATTTTTCACACCCCACAAACACATCTTTGTTAAATATTGGGTTAAGTAAACGTATTACTTAAAAATCATGGGAAGTAACTGTTCCCTTTTAATGTTTCTTGTATATGTCATCAAGTTAGGGGAGGTGTTTATGGTGTTCATTCTGCTGATGCTGATATCCAAACTCCAAAGAGAAATACTTTGGGTATTGGGTAATTATTAGAAAAATATTTTCACTTCATTTAAGGTGTTGCTAAATGTCTGCTAATCTTGTTTAAACACAATGATTTCTTTTCAGTAGGATTGTGTTTGCTGAAGCTTAGTGGTTAACATAATGTATAGAGCTGTTGGAATGTGTTTGCTTTAACACCCCTAATGGCTTATTGGCAACCTTTAAAAACCTGTAACATCCCCCTAAATGTTCTAATGCAAACATCTTTTTCTGGTTCATTGGTGGGACTTATGGTTCATTATTTTAACCTGTTAAAATAATACTTGATTTTGTCAGACAAATAGAATGCAAAACAATAGTGATACAACAACCCGATATAAACAAAATAAAAATGTAAGAGTTCCATAAAAAAACATAAAAATTTAATACTTTAAATAAGTATATTGCCATAACGACATTTTGGAAGAAATATAGACATCTGCAACAATTTCTGCCATGTCTATCTTTATTACCTGTACTACCCAGGACTAAACTATGACAATAATGTGGTCCATGAACTTGTTGCCAGAATCAGACTAGCCATTATTGTTCTCCTTTTTTTTTTTTTTTTTAACCTTTCCCTGGTGTCTTTCCTCCTCATAGTTCTCTGCAACTGTAATGCATGGGAGTTATAGAGGCAACCTAAGTTGTTTTTTTTTGGGGAGGGGGAGGGTGGTGGGGGGTTTAATAGCAAAATGCCCTTTACACCTTGTGTGAATTTGTAGGCAATTGGGAACATTGAACGATCTGTACTGCATAAGCACAGCTACTACTTTTTTTTTGTTAACATTTGATTGCATCAATGATATGATGTTGGTATTCATTTGATCTACTGCATTATCTTATTTTATTTCCTAGCTGTAATTTCACCTCCAGAAGTCAAACTGATTCCAGGCGAGAAATCCTTTACCATAAATGTTTCTAATCCTCCTGATCCAAATATATTTCCAAACCTTGAGTATCAGATTTTAGTGAAAAACACAAATACTAACAATGTTGTAAGTATGGAGAAATAAGTAGCAACTGTGGATAATTTATAATGCATGGTTACAATGAAGTGGTTATTTGATGACTTTTATTAGAAAGAAACATAAGGCACACATACACTAAATAATCATATTTGTCAGACAGCTTGAAGACTTTCATTTATTCACTTAATTCCAAATTAAAGTCTAAATGGCAAAATATGCAGATAAACAGATAAAAGATGCACACACTAACACATATGCAGATACACACAGTGACATGCATACATGCATACATATACAGACACGCATATACAAACACTGACACACATGCAGATACACACACACACTGACACACATGCAGAAATTCAGACACACACACTGATATACATGCAAAAACACACACACATATACGAACACTGACACACAATACACATACAGATGCAGATGCAAACACTGAAACACATGCAGATACACAGACACACATGTAAATGTACAGACACACAGATACAAACACTGATACACATACATTTGCACAGACACACTGAGACACATCCAGATACACAGACAGATAGAGACACAGATACAAACATGGACATATATATATATATATATATATATATATACACACACACACATGTAGATGCACAGATACATTGATACAAACATTAGCACATGCATAAAAACACACACACTGACATACATGTAGATGCAAAGAGATACAAATATAAACACTGACACACGTACAGTTGCCCAGATATACTGATACACACTGACACACATGCAGAAAGACAGATACAGACAATGACACATGTACAGATGTACAGACTCACAGATACAAACAGTGACACACTTACAGATACAGACAAACTGATACAAACATAGACATGCAGATGCATACACTGAAACACATGGAGATACACAGATACACACACACACAGGTCAACATTTTAGCCACCCTCTAGTTTCCTACCATGCTTGTGCCCCCCTCCCACCGCATGGCTGGGTCTATGTCAGCTGGAAGAAAGTCACCAACTCTAACTTCCTCTCAGCATTCCCTGGAGAGAAGAAGGGGCCCGGTCGCACTGTTAAAGCACTGCAGCACATGACTGGGATCCTGCATGGGCCACCCAATGGACCCTCAGCCTGTAGTTCCCAACCTCAGTAGTACAGCTTCACTGCCACTAGCGGTAGAACCGCCAATACCTACCCATGGAGGAACTGGATTGTATCCCTCTGGTATGTGGACCACAAGTTCGGAGCCCCTGATCTATCGTGGATTATTCTGAGTTACAAACCTGCTTTTAGTTCACCAATATTCTTGGGATTTCTTGATTTTTAATTTATATCACAAAATCTCAGTTGGGTTTATGTCAGGACTGAGCTACAGCACTACCTTATTATGTAAGTACTTTGACTATTCCATCCAATTAGACACTTACAAGCCCTGTGGGATTCCTGGAGGCTGCTCGACTCAAATCATTAGATTGTGTTTTGTTTTTCTACATTACCAGCCATTAGTTTAATGTGTGTTTTGAGTCACAATCTTTCTGAAGAGCAAAGGGCCCAACTGGCAGTGTGTTGGCAAACTGGCCCATCACTTTAACATACTCATTAAGTTTCTTAAGCTTTCTATGAACATGGACATTTTGGGTGACATTATTTATCCATGCTGATCTAAAGGGACCAGTACAGCAAGAAAGCAGATCTGGACACATCTTCTTAATATTATGAACTAAAATGTGTGATTTGTTGGAAATTCAAAGTTAAATTTTAGACTAAAATAAGTGAATGAAACATTTGCAGAACATTTTTAATTTGCTTTGATTTACCTTTGAATTCTTATCAGTTTTATAATTTAGTGAATAACCCTGAGGTCTGTCTTCACTGTCTAAGTGTGTCCTAAATTATAAATAGCGTGAATGGTTAAAATTGTATTTCCTTGTATAACTGATCATAGTATAAAGAGAGATTCTAGCTCCAGAGACTCCTGATTAGCATATTTGTGATTGAAAATATTTTTTGCTCATCTTAAAAATAAGCACATATAAGTAAACATTAAAAGATAAAACTTGATGCACTTCACATGACTAACGATTATTACAGTTTACAGCTGACTCTCCAAGGTTAAAGCTCTATAAGGGTGAGTAGAAAGAACAGACTAATTTGTACAGTCTAAAAATCTGCACCCAAAATATATGCTATACCTGAGGAACCAATGCCCAATATTGCCATTACCATATAGCACGTTAGATAGCTAGATAGCACAGATAGTCATGAAATATAGTCCTTTTTCTTGGGATAGAGCAGTAATTATTATCATAACACATGTAGGTCAGTTGCATTATTCCTGTTAACTACAACCATATTTGGAATGGATTGCTTCTATAATTTAGCAATGTTAATGATTGCATTTCTTCAAATTAATGCAGCTAGAACTCTTCATGATATTTTAGGTTGCTTAGACTAAAAAGAATAAAGTAAAAAATATGTTTCTCTTTTAGTGGAGTACTAAGAATTTTTTGGAAAACAACTTAACCCCAAACACCACCTACTGTGTTACTGTAATTTTGACTTATGGCGAAATTGAAAAAATAACGATTTCTTCTCCAAACGTGTGTGCCACTACTCCAGAAGGTGAGATATTTAAATTATGAAGCAGGAATAATTCAATGTGTTTAGCTTGCTATGATTGCTAGTTCTCATTGGTCATGATTTACAATGTATTTGTTTATTTTTCTTTTTTTCTTTACCATCTTCTGGATCTTAGACTTTAAAATAGATTAAGAAGTCAATTCTATATTTGTTAAACGAATTAACATCTTTGTTGAAGTGTTTTGAAGTGCTAATGGTGGTATGAGCCTGGATTTGCTGTGTTTCTATCTGAACCACTGCACATCCTGAATTATTGTTAATTGGGTGTTGGGGGCCAGATCCACTCTGAAGACATGTGACTTAGGCAGCCCAGAACTCTGGCTACTTAATGTCAGTTATGTGCATAGTGTCAATTCTGCACACTGCAGGCAGACATACAAATCTTGCTTCCCCCTCACTCCCTCCCTTGTGTGCTCCCTCTCGACCCCCTGTAAATTGAATAAGGTTTTTTTGTTTATTGATTTTTTTATATTAACCTTCCCTTCTCCCTCCGCTCACCTGATCAGATCGATCTGAGCCTCTGAAATGGTCCAATTACAGTCTTCTCTATGTCAAAGAGTTATAGTTCTACAACATATGGGTAACTAACATTTGGTCATTTCTGCCATATTGATTGAAGTAACAGTTGTGTGCAATAACTCTTCTACGATACCATAGAGAGGAGTGACCAAAAAGCATTTCCCCATGATTTGAAGATGTGTATATATAATTAGTTCTCCAGCTGTGTCTCTCAACTTCACAGTATATCTTTAAGCAACTCCTTTTGTCCTTGTTGCCCTATGCCCTTCACTACCCTGGTATGAACGCACTCTAGATATTGGCAACTATACTGTAAACAATTGACAACTGATCAGTGAAATTACATTTTTGTCCTAAACAGATTAGTTGAAAACAGCTGAGCTGGAAGTCCTGCAAAAATGGTTCAAGTTGGAATTTGGTATTTTATTCCAAAAAACACAATAGGAAAAGCTACTCTGTTTTCTACCCAAAACCTCCAAATTCCCTGGAAAATCCCCAAAAGAGGACAATGAGTGGTTTATTAATTAACCCTGCTTTCCTCTCCCTCCTAATCAATAACTCGAGCTATCTTTGAAGGACCAAGTGATAGTAGACAAAGCACATAGAATCAGCTAGACTTGAGCCTTGGTGAGGATCCTGTTTGGCCCTGAAATCATTATGGATCAGCAAGTATGTTTCACTGCCATCAGGTCAGTCAGTGGGAACCTAATTTTGAGGTCTTGCTGAATATTACTAAGGGATAGTTAGTTGATGACACCCAGATTTTAGGCATTATAATATTAATGTATCTTACATAGATGTATATTTTCATAAAATAAAATTGAATCATGGGTGTTCTTTTCCAGCAATAGATGGAGGGACATATTTGAATGCACAGAGCACTATGGAATTTCAGTACACATCATTTTTCAACATTGTCATTATCAACTCTCAGATTTTAGGGGCAGCTAATCAATATTGTTTTATTTATTTGCTACAAGATGATACAATGATTTGAAACATTTGAAATGGTATATTCAAGAATGAATGGGCCTATTGTAATATTACATTGTTTCTTTTCAGATCACAGTTCACATGAAGCTGCTAAACTTATATCTTTAATTGCTTTGCCATTTCTGATCATTGTGTTAACTGTAGCCACAGGATATCATATTTTTAAATATGTGCACGTCAGTCAATTGGCACATCCTTCTATTCTGGTATGTATTACTCTTTATTACTTATTAAGATGCATTAACTCATGGGGGACTGCAGGGCCATTGGGACATTGTGTTGCCTGGTTCTAAGGGTGAAATGCTGCCCCCCCTCAACAAAACCATGCCCACATCCATTATGTTATGCAATGTGTGTAGTGAATACAGTGCCTGTGTGTGGGCTGGGGGTGCAGTGCATGTGCAGGGGGTGTATTGTGTCTCTCTGTGTGTGCAGGGGATGTATTGTGTCTCTGTGTGTGTGCAGGGGATGTAGTATATTTCTGTGTGTGTGCAGGGGATATAGTGTATGTCTGTGTGTGTGCAAGGAATTTAGTGTGTGTCTGTGTGTGTGCAAGGGATGTAGTGTGTGTCTGTGTGTGTGCAGGGGAGGTAGTGTGTGTCTGTGTGCTGGGGATGCAGTGTATGTCTGTGTGCGTACTGCAGCCACTGATGACACTTGTACTTGCTGTTTCCATGGTGGTGTGGCTTCTGGCTGGAGTGGAGTCTGGAGAGACTCCTAGTGGCTCCGTTCCTCATCGCTGCTGGCCCATTCCTTACACCTGTCCTTCTCCAAGTTCTTTGTCCTGCCACCTGTGCTGCCCTGGATGGCTGCTGCAGCACACAGATACCAGCAGTGGTGGCTTTAAGCTTTTTTGTGGTCTTAGGCAAAATTTAAACATGTGGCTCCCACTAACACTCATAGTGAAAAAATAATTAGGTTGCATTGTGTGTGTATATTGGCTTGCAGTGCTGGATACATAGAGCTAGTCCCTGTAGTCATCGTTCAGAGGCTTGCACTGTTGCGCCTCCATGTGCCACTGCATTGTGAGCTCTCTGACTGTAATTCTAGCATAATTTTCAAACTAAATTATTTTGTAATAAACACATAAACATGCACACATATACACAGTAACACACAAACTCATCTTTGTATCTTTGTATATGTATGTTTCTGAGACTGTTTGTGTGTGGGGTAGCTGCTTGCAGTGTGTTTTGTGTATAGGAGGCTGTCTGTAACCTATTGTGCTTATGGCAAAGCTATGTTTCATGACTGTTTGTGTATAAGGAAAGTTGTCAAGGTTGACCGTGACAGGGTGAGTAAAGCAGGGAGTGTGACAAGGCCAGAGTGTGAATGAGACAGGGTTGGGGGTGAGTGTGACATAGTTGGAGGAGGGAGTGTGCACGGCACGGGGAGGAAAGTGTAACAGGATTAGGAGGGTTAATGTAACTGAGTAAATTGGCATGGTTGGTGGGGGTGAATATAACAGGTTTGGGGTGAATGTTGTATGGTTGAAGGTTGGAATGTGACAGGGTGAGGGAAAGTCAGTGTGAAAGGATTAAGGAAGGTTAATGTGACAGGGTGAGTGTGGCTGATTGTGACAGGGCTGGAGGTTTTACTCTGACAGCGTGAGGAGGGAGTGTGACAGAGGGAGGGGAGGGGAGTGTGAGAGGATTAGGGGAGGTTAATGTGACAGGGTGAGTGTGATATGGTTGGCAGGATGAGTGACACATTTGAAGTGATTAAAGTGATAGAGTGAGAGGGCAGGGTATGAGTGTGACATAAAGAATACAAGGAAAGGGCTGCGCTTAGATAAAACTTTAAAAGATATTGAAAGTCCAGATAAAATCAATGGATAAAAAAGGAAGAAGGTCTTATCTGGCAATGTCCGTAGTGCTTAGTCCGAAACAATAATCTTGCTTTCTGTCTTCCTTATAAACCGTCTCGTATGCAAGAGATAAAAACAAATACAGAACCACAATGGTGTAGTATATCTTGACGTAAAAGAAATAAAATATAAAACTTGATTGCAAACTCACATTTCCAAGAGCTAGAACCTGCTCTGGTATAGAAGGCGTACAGCGGTTTAGATCCACGCTTATGGGATATGGAATGATTATCCTTCACGTGCTTCCTCCTTCCGTAGTGTGGGAGATACTCAAATAAAAAGAGACAACCAATAGTGTTCTCTGCATAAAACTTAAAATAAAATATAAAATAAAAGTGGGTACTCACAAGACAGGAGCAGGTCAACTGCTCCTGATATTTCGCGTTGGTGGAATAATCCCCACCTAGGATTGCTTGGAGTCCAGCGAATAATGCCAGGTAATAATAAAAATTATATATGTATTAAAAGATAAGTGGTACAATAAAAGATTATGAAATATACTTTAATTATAACATTACACAATATAAAAAACCATAAACGCGTTTCGCCAATCGGCGTTATCAATATGGGTAAAGCTTATTCGCTGGACTCCAAGCAATCCTAGGTGGGGATTATTCCACCAACGCGAAATATCAGGAGCAGTTGACCTGCTCCTGTCTTGTGAGTATCCACTTTTATTTTATATTTTATTTTAAGTTTTATGCAGAGAACACTATTGGTTGTCTCTTTTTATTTGAGTATCTCCCACACTACGGAAGGAGGAAGCACGTGAAGGATAATCATTCCATATCCCATAAGCGGGGATCTAAACCGCTGTACGCCTTCTATACCAGAGCAGGTTCTAGCTCTTGGAAATGTGAGTTTGCAATCAAGTTTTATATTTTATTTCTTTTACGTCAAGATATACTACACCATTGTGGTTCTGTATTTGTTTTTATCTCTTGCATACGAGACAGTTTATAAGGAAGACAGAAAGCAAGATTATTGTTTCGGACTAAGCACTACGGACATTGCCAGATAAGACCTTCTTCCTTTTTTATCCGTTGATTTTATTTGGACTTTCAATATCTTTTAAAGTTTTATCTAAGCGCAGCCCTTTCCTTGTATTCTTTGTGTTTTATCCTAAGGGTTTTTGAGGGATTCCCTTTTAGGGTTGCTGCTAAGTTGTGTTATTTAGCGCTCACTCATTGTTTTGGTTTTATGAGTGTGACATAGTAATAGAGGATGAGTGTGACAGAGTTGGGAGTGAGTGTGATAGTGCAAGAGAAGATGAGTGTGACAGGATTACGGGGGGTTACTGTGAGTGTGGCTTGGTGAAGGGGAGTTTCAGCATGTGGGGGGAGAGTAGCAGTGTGGTGGCAGTGTATGGGAGGCTGAGAGTGTTAGTGAGGGGGGGGTGCAGTGTGTGGGAAGGTGACCATGTGTGAAGGGCAGTATGAGGGGATGACAGTGTGGGAGGGTGACATTGTGGGAGGGCAATATATGAGTGGTGACAATGCGTGAGGGTGACAGTGTGGGGGGGGCGTATGTAATGTGACAGTGTGGTGGGTTGTGTGTGGAAGGGGCTGTGTGTGGGAGGGTGACAGTGTGGGGGCTGTCTGTGGGATGGTGCTGCACCCTGTGGAGCTGCAGACCAGAGGCATTGGGCTCCCTCCACATGGGCAGATTGAGTGGAGAGGACTCCGCACCAAGGCTTGCTTGGGCACTCCGTTATGGACCAAGGACCTGATTAATCAGTCTGCCATTCCACAGAGCGATGTAATCACAGAGCGATGGAACGTCAGTGGAATAAAGTCCCTGTCAACCCAGGTTAGCTTCCCCCTCCTGACACCCCTGTCCCAGCAGAGGGACTGATTGGGGAAGGTTAAACATTCCACTAGGGGCAGCAAAATTATTGACTGGGGTTGCTCTCTCTATCGGGCAGAGTAAGCCATCCTGCATTTTGGATCTGTCCTGCCCTTTTGGGTGGAATTGGTCTGGTATGCAAATGACCTGGTTCTTTTTGTAATGGCACAAGATGAGTTAAAACTAGCTTTAGATCTGAGTGGGGACCCACCAAAGAGCAGGCTGTTGTCCGTTCTCAGTATTTTCGTGCGTCCTGTTTTTTCTTCTCCCTGTGAATGTGTCGCCTGGAGCCATGGTCCCACTTGGGCCTATGAACGGGCCAGCCCTGGGGTACTGGCATTGAGGGCACAGGGACTGGTATTGTGGCAGTTGTCTCTTAGGCATGCACAGATCTCTGTGAATAATTCTTCATACCGTGCAGGTCATGGAGGTTGAACGAATATATAATGGCACACCTTGCAACTCCAGCAACCTCCATCTAATTAGATCTATATGTATTGCATGCTTCAAGTAGAACCATGTACACTGAGATCTGTAAGTTTCCTATGCAAAAAAGGCAATTGATTTGTACTTGTACTTCTGCAATCAGGGCAAACTACATATTCAGGCACTGAGGAAAGACGGAGCGTCCAGGAGGAGGCCCACATAGGTCCCTGGGTTCGGTTCTCCTCCATCAGCCGGTGTGTGAAATATGTTAATGTGGCCGCCACTTTAAGCTATAAACTTAACAAGTGTGCTGGCGGGACTTTCCATACAGTAGCAGTTTGCTCGGCCCCTGTGCTGGGAAGGAGTGATCCTTTAATAAAACTCTCATATCAAAGTTTCATTTTTGGGAGTTATCTACTAAACAGCTGAAAGAACAAGATTAAGAAAATCCCTTAACGAAAATATATTTCAGTTGTTTAGTAGATCATTTCCTTATTTGCTATTCTTATGTGGGATTGCAGTATTTAAGGATAACAAATTAGGGAGCTATCTATTAACCACATACAAATTTTCATGCACACACACACACACACACACACAATCTCAGGCATACACACATAATCAATGACAAACACAAAACCACATACACACAACCACAAACATACACATAATCACCGATATACACACACACACATAAGAGACACACCATATTGGAAACCTTTATATTTTTGCCTACCCACGTAGCAGGTGCCTACTCTGCAAAACATAGTTAGCGGCGGTCGAACTAGGCAAGGGGCACACAGGGAAGCAATGAATAATCTAGGGAGGACATTGCCCTGTGCCCCCCTAACCTCCTTTAGCGATGCCATAGGTCAACGGCAGATCATGTTTACAAATCCCGTATAGCACAATGGGGAACACAATGCACATGCTACACAGGAAGCAGCACAAATTGTATTTTGAGTTTGTCTGCTTCATTTGAAGAGACATATTACTTACCTGTTTTTTCTATTCATATGCAAAATACACTTTAATGTAAAAGAAAACAAACTTACTTGAATCTCGCTGGACATTTACTCCTCCAGCCCTTGCTTTTGGTCATCTCCATTAGCAATCTGGTTAGCTCTAGTGAGCTAAGCAGGGGCAGGGAGGATTGTACTCATTGGTTAAGAGCGTCAGCAGAGCAGTCCTGAATCAGCCAGGTAAGTTGTCAAACCATACTAAAACAGTTGTCTGCTAACTATAGGAGGATTCCAAGAAACTTCTAGAACTATAACCACTACACTAGGGTTCTGCAGTGGTTATGGTGCTTGGAGTTTTTCTTTTATTTTGTCCTTTGCTTCCTAATATGTTGTGTGAGGTTCTAGGAAAAAGAGATAGTATCTCTCTCTCCACCACATCTACCAGCAAATCAATAAAAGGAGAAGTATAGAATTGAGTATGGTGGCCACAGACCTGGAAGAATGCCCAATAATGTGGCTTCCATCATTCTGACATCTCAGGACATGTATGTCCTACTATTACAGAATGAAGGAAGCAAGTATGAGTAATAATGTGTTTGTATTTGTATGCATAAGTGGGTTTAAGTCTATATGTCCATGTAGGTGTTTGTCTTCATGTTTACATAGTTTGTAATCTTTGAGTTCCCATGAAGAGCATTTGAGGATAAGGTGGGCCTTTGCAGACAAGACGCTGGCCAATATTTTCAAACCCATAAAATCAGAATAAGACTGATGAGAGGAATAAGAGATGACAACTCCATACGTTTGATGTGCAAGAAGGCACTCCCAAAGCATTATGCAAACAATTAACATCGGTTTTTGTATGCTCCCATATATATCTGAATTATAGCTATAGCTGTGTAGATACTTTTTTCAAAGGAAGAGGTAGAAAAGCATCAGAACTGCAGGCTGTCAGAATATAGGTGAAAATTGGCATGGGTGGTCAGAATGGAGCAGGGAAATATGAATAAAATAGATGTTGTTCACTACCAAGAAATCACGTGACCAGATACTGTGGTGAATCCATCCCTGGAATGATTAAGATGATATTTACAACAAAACTCATGTGCAATACAGATTGTGCATATATATCATAATACAGGGATTAGTTGGAACAATAAAAAGTAATTTTGTGGTATTTGAAATTATCAAAATTGTTGGATGACATAACATTCTTTTTGTTTATTTCAGAATCTACCTCCTGGAAGAAAAAATGCAACATTTCATATGGAGGCACATGTTGCCATTAACATCATCACAACTGATGTGTGTAATCCAAAAATGTCAGAAGCTTCCATGAATAGCAAGCCAGACATACAAATGGAGAGTGACATAAAATTCACTAGTGAACAAGTTCTGTTTTCCCACAACACAGAAACAGTGGAAGATATTGATTATGTAACCCTTCAAGAGCCAGCCTGTAAAACAAATACAACACAATGCAATAAGCCAGTTGTCATAACAAATATTACACCTTATGATATGCCACATCATCCACCTGAATCACAATCAACCCTGCAGTCTGTAGCACCTTCTGATTCAAAGGATGATGACATTGTTCATTATGGTTGTATTAAAACCAATTGTCGAAGTTCTCAAGGTAAAGAGGGGAGCACCTTAGACGTTGATAAAACAGAATATTCTTTACAGAAACTTTCAGTCAGTTATGTCCCTAAGGTGGTTGATGAACCAAAAGGGTGCCATCATAAATTGGAAAACCCACATGTGGACCAAGGTCCAGAGTATTTGCAAGAATTAGCTGACAAAAGTCTTATCAAGCCTAATGGTCTGTTTATTAGCTGGACTCCTTCCTGTCATCAGTTATCTCAGCCTATTGTATTTAACAAGGTTTTGGAAGCAGACTGTGAAGAGGACCTCCAGGATGTGAAAGTAGGTCTTCTTTCAAAACTTTACATGCCTCTTGATTTGGATGATCCATCTGAAGAAAATGAACTCTTGCAGTTAGAGAAACGGTGGGGACTGCATATACAAATACCTGAATAGACAACAATTTTAACAACTTGTAATGTTTACAGATACCACATGTTTGATCAACAATTTTGCAACATCTACAATCAAAACTTGAATGGCACAAAATAATTCTCCTATTCACAGTGAGGAATTTAGAATTTTTTAAAATGTAATAGTTCTGAAAGATAATGTGAATTGCTGCTCAATATTCTTAATGTTGTCATGACATGAACTGTGTACCAATTTTTTACAGCATAGTCTCTATCCTGTCCCACTGTTCTAGGTGTATTCCCTGGTGTCTTACTATTGGGGACAACAGGAAACTGTCCCAGGAAAGTGCAGTACTAAGACATCATTAAAGGGAATCTGTAGTGACAGGAAAACAAAGTTGTTTTCCTGGCACTGTAGCTCCTTATAGTGCCAACCTTCCTTCCCCGTGGTGCAGAAGGGGTTATAAACCTCTTCTGTTACTTGCCTGAGTCCAGCGCTGATGTCCCTTGAAAGTCAGCCAGCAGAGTAGATCTAACGCACTTGCACGGCAATGGCTATGCTTGCCTTAGTGATTTCCCCATAGGAAAGAATTGTATGGGGTTTTGAGTAACACTGGACATCCTCATGCATATCATCAGGATAGCCAGTGCCAGGCAACCAAAAGTCAACAACTAGAGGTGGATTTAACACTGGTTAGTAATTATTGCAGTTTCTCAATAACTTAATAATTACTTTTGCAGGGTTAAGTGACATGGGCCACTGCACCCAGACCACTTCAATGAGCTGAAGTGGTCTGGGTGCCTATAGTGTCCCTTTAATCACACTTTCTTCACACTAAGGGAACTAGGGCAATTCAATGAGTTCTGTAACAGAACTGCATGGCATTTCCTTCATGGGGCCTCCTGGCATAACTGGTAGTCAGCCTGGCATGCATGTAAACTAGTGAGAATCGCTTGGTTTGGATAGACTGTCATAGTATTTTACATCTTCTAATAATTATATAAAAGATTACAAATTTGTGTTCTCTACATTATATTTCATATATATTTATATTCTTTTATATGTGTGATCAGGGACAATAAGCCAAGTCAGAGTATTGATGGTGGTTAAAGTCTGATGTGCTATAAGTCGGTTGTGGTGTGCCGAAACCAACGTTCGGGTAGGCCTGTAAATAAAGAGTGCCCACCAAAATGAATGGCTTGAAAGAGGGAGCTGTGGGTGGGCCAAACCAGGCGATATTCGCCCAGTGAAAGGGGTGGCCTTAGTCTTTATAGGTCTTGTAACTCCTCCCACAACTCCAGTCTCTGTCTTTCTATTAATAACTGGAGGGAATATCAGAATGGCAGTGATTGGTGTATACAGCATCTTAAATGGTTTCATAAAATGATCATCTAATTGTCATTTTAACTTTAAATATTTTACTGTCATGAAATACTATGAATGAAAATAAAATTACTATATTCTTTTATTCTTTCTATTTATTGCAGACCATCAAACAATATGTGTTGTGAATTGTATAATAGTTATAACTTTTGCACATATTTGAAAGAAGAATAATTTCTATACAATTCTGTCTGCTAGCTTACCTGACCATAAATATGTGCATCATCTCTTCCGTCTGCCCACCTGTCCATCTGCTTGTCTCTATATAAAATTTATATACCACATAAATAAAGATAACTCTGACAGCTGCTTTCTAATTCAGATGATATTGCTTCAAATGGGAAGTAATGTTTTGTTTTGCCCATTCCATTGACTTTTTAAGATGCCTAATTCCTTTGGTGAACAAGATCCATGCCATCCGTACAGATGCCCTACCAGTCATTAGGTACCCATCTAAGATAATAACTTGGCCTCAAAGAAGAGCTGGACACCTTGGATTTCAAGACCAGGAAACTACACATGATAAATGAAAAATTCCACCAGAAATTTAGTAATTAGAAACTGTTCACCAGTTGAAAGGAAGGAGGTCTGGGCCTGATGAGTGTCAAGGCCACAGTCCTGCATGAAACATTCACAAATAGATCATGAAGATAAACTTCTATGGGAATGCCTGGGACAGCATCAGATAGAAGATTTAAGTAAGGTGGAGATTCAATGGCAAGACAAACCACTCCATGGTATGCATCATCATCAGCAGATAGTAGATGTGGCTCACATTAAAAAATCCGATCAATGGTTGGAAATAGCAGGATGGACAAATAGCAGCACCCGAGAATAAGAAATGCACACAAAAATAAAAAATAAAAACACACAGAGAGGTGAGAAAGATATATATATATATATTCTAGAGTCAAATGTGAGGCCATCTGTCTGACAGCTAAAGCTTGGCTAAAATCGAATCATGGACAGAACAATGATCCCTAGTGCACCAGTGAATCTTTAACAGAATAGATGAAAAATAAAGTAATCAATGTATTGCAATGGCCCAGTCAATGAAGTCCAGACCTTAAACTTTTTTTTTTTTTTTTCACATCAGATATTGGGCTTAATTTATGCCACTTAACCTCAGCGGTAGCTTAATCAAGTCCCAATTCATCTTGTGTTACTTATCCCTTCTATTACTACGATCTAAATTGTTAATTATAAAGAATAAGAAAAAAAGAGGAGCAAAATGAATTCTAATGAGAGCTGTGAATAAACAAATGCCAGGAAACCTCAATGAACTGAAGAAACTTTGTAAAGAAGAACAGGCCAAAATTCCATTACAATGTGCGAGACTGATAAAGTCATACAGAAAATTATTACTTCAAGTAATTGCTGCTAAAGGTGGTTCTACAAGATATTGAATCAAAGATGTACTTAGTTTTTCACACAAGGCATGTCCATTTTGGCTTTATTTTTTGTTAAACAAATCATGACACGGTGTAATATGTCATATGTTGTTGTTCATCTGAGTATGTATTTACTGAATTTTAAGATCTGCTAAGGAAGAGATGATTGTTATTATGTCCTGATATGAAAAACTATAGTATTCCAAGAATGTAGTTTCTTTTTCCCATGATTGTATATTTCAGATCCATTTGCTTTCATAAGGATAGAAAATAGACACTTATATTTTAACCCCTTAAGGACCAAACTTCTGGAATAAAAGGGAATTATGACATGTCACACATGTCATGTGTCCTTAAGGGGTTAAGCCACTGAAAAGAGCTTTTTTATCTTTAATTTCAATCTTTCATCTGTTTAGTATATAGCTCCCTAATTTGTTATTCTTATGTAGGATTTCCATAATTAAGGATACCAAATTAGGTACGTATCTATTAAGCAACTAAAAGAGAAAATTTAAAGGATCACTATAGGGTCAGGAACACAAGCATGTATTTCTGACCCTATAGTGTTAAAACCACCATCTAGCCCCCCCGGGCCCTCCATAAATATAGCAAAATCTTACTGTATTTAAGCCTGAAGCTGTAGCTCTGCATGCTGTTTCCCTAAAAAAAAACAAGCAGTCTGCTGACATCATCAGAAGTGGTAGCCTTATCCAATCACAGTGCTTCCCCATAAGATTGGCTGAGACTGACAAAGAGGCAGATCAGGGCATGGACGTCCGCAGGAATTTTTCCGGGGCATAATTGTAATGACATCCATGCTTGGCCCCTTTTTAACAGTGTCATGAAGGGGAGGAGCATAGTCATTATCACATAAAGCCAGGGTGAATAGCGTTTTCACAACTATGGTGTCAGGAATACATATTGTTTTCCTGACACTATAGTGTTCCTTTAATCAAATTAAATGAACATTCTGGTCATCATAACAAGCTCCAGGTCACTCAGCTTCAGCTTCTGAAACAGAGTGTCAGGAAGTGCAGATTGATGTCAGGCATGGGTGCCGCTGATTGGCTAGAGTGGTCAGCTGACGCTCTAAGTCAATCGCTAGTTCCCGATTCATACATTTTTTTAAATGTTTTTATGAATGGGGAGCTACTGATTGGCTCAGAGTGCCAGCTGAATGATGTTGCCAATCAGTGGCACCCCTACCCAGCGGCCCTCTGTGTTTCCTGACACTCAGTAAATAAAAGTGAACACATTAACACTGATATGTTTTTTTTACCTGGGGAGATGAGAAGGTCCAAAGTTTTATGCCAGGCCCAGATACCAAAGCCTTATGATGTAGTGTCCAGAATGAAGTGGAGGGATCACTTCACTTGTCTCTCATTTTCTTCTCCTTCATTTGACACAGTGTTCTTTTTAATTCTGACATGGTCTTCTCTCCTCATTGGCACCTTCTGCTCCTTTACCTTTCTGCTACTTTCTGCCCATTTTGCGCCCTTATGCTCCTTTCTCTTTTTGATACCTTTCTGCTCCTTGTAGACCCTCCCTTCTCCTTGCAGCCCCTTCCTGCTCCTTGCTGCCCCTTTCTGCACCCTCCTGCTTCTTGCAGACCCTACCTACTCCTTGCTGCTCATTTCTATTCCTTTTCCTACTTTACCTTTGTGCTCCTTCTGCCCCTTCCAGATAATTGTTGACCCTTTCTGCTCCTTGATTTCCCTTCCTGCTCATTTCTGCTCATTGCAGACCCTTCCTCCATCTTGCTGCCCCTTTCTTCTCCTTTCTGCCATTTCCAGCTTCTTGCTGTCCTTTTCTGTTCCACATAGACCCTTTCTGTTCCTTCTCCTACTTTACCTTTGTGCTCCTTCTGATTATTTCTGCCCCTTCCAGCTCCCTGCTTTCCCTTCTTTCTCCTTGCTGCCCCTTCCTGCTCCTTGCAGACCCTTTCTGCTCCTTGCTGCCTCTTCCTGCTCCTTGCAGACCCATCCTGCCCCTCGCAGACTCTTCCTGCCCCTTGCAGAACCCTCCTTCCATTGCAGACCTCTCCTGCTCCTTTTGACCCCTCCTTCTCCTTTCTGACCCATCCTGCTCCTTGCTGCCCCTTCATCTCTGCTCCTTCTTCTTCGCCCTCCTGCCCCTTGCATAACCTTTCTGCTCATTTCTGTTCCTTCTACTTTACCTTCCTGTAGGCTGTCTCCCCCCCATCCCTCACTTACCTGATCTGGAGGCTGTCCCCCATCCCTCACTTACCTAATCTGCAGGCTGCCCTCCCTTCCCCCATGTCTCACTTACCTGATCTTTAGGCTGCCCCCCATGTCTCACTTATCTGATCTGTAGGCTGCCCTCCATCCCTCACCTAAAGGACCACTATAGGCACCCAGACCACTTCAGCTTAATGAAGTGGTCTGGGTGCCAGGTCCATCTAGAGTTAAGCCTGCCTGAGAAACTGCTATGTTTACATTAGGGTTATTCCAGTCTCTAGTGGCTGTCTCACTGACAGCCGCTAGAGGCGCTTCCATGCTTCTCACTGTGATTTTCACAGTGAGAAGATGCCAGCGTCCATAGGAAAGCATTGATGCTTTCCTATGGACTGACTGAATGAGCTGCTCTGAATGCGCATTCAGCGGATGACGTCAGAAGAGGGAGAAAAGTCCCCAGTGCCGAGAGAGCCCGGCGCTGGAGAAAGGTAAGCGTTTAACCCCTTTCTCCACCTAGAGCCTCATGGGAGGGGGACCCTGAGGGTGAGGGGGTCCTATTAACACTATAGTGCCAGGAAAAAGAGTTTGTTTTCCTGGCACTATAGCGGTCCTTTAACTGATCTGTAGGCTGCCCCCCCATCCCTCATTTTCTTGATCTGTAGACCGCCAAATCTACATAATCAGTTGCTATTATTGCCACAAGTTCATGGATTTTATTCCTTAAACTACAAGCATTTGTAGACATGACTCTAAGCTTATAAATGTTTTTAACACACTCGTTACCGTTACTTTCTGTCCTTGTTTTGGGGGCAATTAGATTGATGTTTGATCACCATTTTGCACCCCTCCTACTTTAAACACATCCTAGCAAAACCTCTGAACTGCTCACTGAGAACATTTGTTCCCTTTTGAGAAAGATCTTTTTTATACAGAGCTAGCATGAGAAATGAAGCCAAATCCTTTCTCCTGACACCATTCACCAAGCCACAAGTTAAAGTCCTTAATACGCATCCGCCTGTCGTTCTGAGTGTTATGCACAGATAGAACTTCAGAGAATAACCGTGTGTAAGCAACCTGCCGCATATCATTGGCAAAAACACAAAAAACTTCCTTAACCTTTGAAACCTCATTGCAAGTCAAGTCATTTGTCCCTAGATGGACAAGTACATCCAATTCCCCTTCCTGCTTTGCTCGCTTAACAATATTACAAATACGTCTTCAGTCTCTGTGAGCAGTAGCTCTGGGAAGACATCTCACAAGACCACTATTGTCCATCTCCACATCTCATGATAGAATGCCCCAACAACAACTGCTTTCTATTAGGCCTCACCATAGTCTCCAATCCTGTCTCCGTAATGCCACTACACTCGGTGGCTGAGCCTGTCTCAACAACCCCGTCTATTTCTATATTTGTTGTGTGTCTAATTTAAAGGGGAAACAAGTGTGACTCCAACTCCTATTTCCTTATACACACATGCACATGATTTATGTATTTTATTGTACAAACTCCTTGCACATTTCTTTTTGTATCTCTTTTTCCCCAGGGCACATACAAAAAAAAGGAACTGCAATTCTACAAAAACATTATATCAATGTTTAATAAATAAATGGTAAGTTAAATGAAGGTTATAAATGATGTAGATGATTGTCAGTAATCCACACATTGACGTATTTGCTTATTTGTTTGG